CCGTGACATGGGTGAAGCTGTAAAACGTTCCCTCTGCATTTAACTCTCACACAGCTTACAAAATGCATAACGGCTGAGAAACATAAAGTGCGTTCAAGGAGAGGAAGAAAGAGACCACATTGTACATTGGGAGGCCTGATGCATTCATGCTGCATGAAAACAATGAAGGGGAATCTGTCGGAGCAGCAGAATGCCTAATCCTTTCCAGATTTACCCATCAGCATCAACATCTATTAATAGGCATCTTGGCGTGTCTCATTTACCAAGGACACATTGTTTGGTCGTACTGGTAGGCCGCTGCGTTTCAGAATATCGTTTCCACATGTTAATAGAAATGAGTTCTAATACTGCAGCCTCTCAACCGTTACCTAAAATAAACAACAAGAACGTTTTCCTACAATATTCATATTGTCTTTATCAGTGTTGATGTACACAATTGTAGCTCTAACACACGGCCTCACATGAATCCTGCCGCATTTACACTCACAGCCTTATGGAATTAAGACAGATCTGTGAACATTGTTCCCAGGTTACACAACATTGTTTCCCCCACAACCTTGGTGAAAAAACTAAAACAAGGAAATAAATGAAATGGAAATATAATGTGTAATGCCTTTAAGTAGGCCTATTGCTGCTGCAGTAATACAAGGAGACAGATAAGGAGCCAACAGAAACGTTAACAGGTTATTCTGCTTGTTGAGACTAACCTGACAGACTGCATTCTGGTGTTCAGTCAAACCTGTTGACTGCCACTGATTTAACTATGCAGCTCCCCTGACTGTACCAATCCTAACATGTCGGGTTTTTTTACATTTTCCAATCAGCGGGTGAGAGCAGGTGGAGCCCGAGGTGCCTCTTCTATAATTATAAAATTAGCTCGCAAACATATCCATGCATCTCAAATCCTCACCTATGAATTATGTACTTAGTAATACTTTGCACAGTATCATCACATTGCCCTGTTCATTGGCACGAAAGAAAGAAGTAAAACATATAGATAGATAGATAGATAGATAGATAGATAGATAGATAGATAGATAGATAGATAGATAGATAGATAGATAGATAGATAGATAGATAGATAGATAGATAGATAGATAGATAGATAGTATTGCGTTTACATTTTAAATAAAGTCAAGATTATATTAAGGAATTTCATGCTGAGGAAAAGTTACTCAATATACAAAAACTATGTTGTCAGATGTTTTTGACAGACAGACTATAGTCACGTATTTCTTATGGCTTCAGAATGTCCTATACATTGACCAAAAATAAAGGAAGAAAAAAATGTTGCAGAATTATTCCTGATCAGCTTTTAACTAAAAAAGAAGGTTTGGTATTTCCTAAATATTCCATAATAGCAATGACGTTACACAAATCCTTGTTGGTATGCAGGAGTGTGTAGCTCCAGGTCTGCATACACATGGCTTTTACTTTATTCATAATGTATCATACATTATGTGTCATGTGTTTGTCAACCAGGTAGTATTATATTGTACTAACTTCATGCAATGTATATTGTGTTAAAAAATAAAGTTTATGTAAATGCCTGAAACAAGTTTTCTAATTTAAAACTGAATGCAAACAATGATACAAAATATAGGACATAACCGTAATGAGTGTCTTTATAAATGATCAACATGTAGTCAAAATGGAAATGGAAATCTCATCACTGCCAGATAAAAAAAAAAAAAAGTACATGTGGCTCAATTTGGTTCAAACAGATTAATAAGAAATCTGTTTAAAATTATTTTTGAAATGTTGTGTTTGTCTAATAAATGTGTGAGGACAGTTGTATAAACAGACAGCTTCCCTCCACTAAACTAAGCTGACAGAACAACACATTACCTTTAGGATGCAGAGGTCCAAAGCACACTGAAGTTGTGTATTCCTCCAAATCGTTCTTGTTTGAGTCTCTCTCTGAGCCTGTAGGTAAAACTGTTGGATTCCTCTGGAGGAACAAGGCTGGAGGCTTTGGATGATCCAGGTATGAACTGTGCGAGAAAGAAAACAAACATATTCCCTGCTGTCAAAAGAGACGCTTTGTGTTTCTTTTTAGTAATAGTGTGTGTCAATGAGCGGGGCTACCGGTGGAAATCTGATTTCACAGAGCCTGTCAAAGATAGCCCTGCACACTGGGAAAGTCAAACACAATAGAGTATGAATCTGCAAATGTTTTCTTCCCTCCCAACGCAGGGAGCTCCGCGGAAAAATGTAAAAAATGACAATGATCTGAAAACTTCACCGAGACAAGCGGCGTGAAAAAACTCACCCAGAAAAAAGCCTCTAAAGTGAAAGAGGGAACATTTGTACAAAACTTACCTTTTTTATTCTGCCAGGCTACTGGTTCTTCTCAATGAGAGCAGCTGGTCACTTTAGATAGTTTGTTATATTTTGGCGCCTTGTTGTTTTCCGTAATATTTCTCAGAGGTTTGACAGTATAAGTGGAATGTTAAGTATGACTTTGGTATGAAATCAACGCACTACACTGGAAAACGAAGGGGGAGGGAAAGACAGACTTGCAAGGAGGAGCCACCGGTGCGCGTCAATCAACAGGCCAGGGGGGCGGGGACTTCACTGCAGGCCCCGCCCCGCTCAAAACAAACTGCAGGCCTCATGTATGGTGGCTAATATACCGTATATCACTGCTGGGTTTAGGGATAAATAAATGCATCAGTTAACATTGGCAGTGTTGCAAAAAATCATGAATTTGATATGTTACAGTGTTGGAAGTATATACACTGTTAAAAGTTAAAGTCAAGCACTAAAATGTTTTAATTACATTAAATTAGTCATGCAATTATCGATAACGCAGAATGACGTGTTTCTGAATAATACATATTTTATCACCAGATTATATTATGTTTATCCGACTTTTATATTGTGTTAGCTGTAAATTAGCCCTTCCATAGCGTTGTATTTGTCAGATAGTTTACAGATATCTTCACTGTCGACCTTTACATTTGAGCTCTTTTAGTTCCATTTGATCTTTTATTTTGATATGTTTATATTTTATAATTGTTTGTTTTCTACTCTTTTTGTATTTGTAATTATGTGCAATACTTTGTTTTACATGCTGCAACGAAAAAAAATCCCAATTTGCGATCAATGAAGTATATCTTATCTTATTATGTTATTTTATTATATGAATAAATACTTATGATGCATCATGTGTACTTTAATGTGAAAGGTAATGGTCAAGATTGAGCTTATATATACATAAACAGACTGCTGTTAGTGACGCATCCTAAACCCCGGAAGTAAGCTGCACATGGGTTCCAAAAAAGGAATGCAATTTCTCCATAGGATTTTGGAAAATAGCTCGAAATAAGGTCTGTGGTTGACACATATTTAAGAGACGGATCACGTTTTCTTCAGTCGGATAATCTCCACATGTCTACCCTACTTTCATCATTTTCGAATCATAAATCTAATCGATAGGTTTATGATTAGAAAATTATAAAAGTAGGGTAGACATGTGGAGATTATCCGACTCTTAAACGTGTGTCAACCACAGACCTTATTTCGAGCTAGTTTCCAAAATCCTATGGAGAAATCCCATTGCTTTTTTGTCGAATGAACCATGGAAGGAACCCATGCGCAGCTTACTTCCGGGTTTTAAGACGCGTCACTGTGGCACTCTATACTTAATGGTAATGCTCAAAACAAATGCTAAAGGTTTACGTGGAGTGTGTAAATTAGTTTAAAAGACATGTAATAAATAAGAGTTATATAGTGCTTTGCTGTAGCGATGGAGTATTCAGACTCAGCAGCCATTTTAAGATTGCTGAAATATTTTAATAATAAATAACAATGAAAGAGATGATTCATCACAAAGATGACTCACTTACATTACATACACTGTAATGACAAGTATTTTATTCACTGCCTGACTTCTATGACTGATAGTGTTTTTTGTTTAGAGCCCTTGTGTGTTCCCATACATATATTTTCAATCACTGTGTCCATACGACTCAATACTGAGTGCATTGCAGGTTAATTAAATGGTATCTACATTTTAAATAAATTGTACTTTTTTATATAATTACACACTTAAGCATGGTTTTGCTTTTTGAAACATCAAATCAAATCTGAAGTTGGATTAATAATACGAAGTTTAAAAATACTTTTTTTTTAATTCACCAGCTAATCAGATATTGTCAAACTGCTCTCCTTAAGTACCACACTTGAAATACAAATAGATAACTGTTAACACTGAATGATATAAAAGGAAATATGTGCTTTTGTTTTATCTCAGGGCTAATTCAAAGGGAACATATATTCTATCTATCTAGAATATGTACATCACTATAAACAAAATAGACCTTGAATCCAGCAACAGCTCCTTCTGTTGGTCAACAGCGTGGTTGCAGCTGTTAAGCAGAATTCCAATATTAAAGCAGAGTTGCTGCTTATGCAGATGGTGTGACAACAAATCACTCATTGATGCACTAATTGTATCAGTGTCTAAGTATGACTACAGAAATATTGGCAGTTGTTGCACTGGAATTCACGTAACAGAAAAAGACAATGAGAGGAGAAAAACTCACCTTGCAGCATCTGTCCAGAAGAGCTGCCAGCTTCAGGCTTCTTTTAATTTGCGAGTTTGGACAACTGCCTGAGCAGGTTCAGGCAGAATATACACACTTCTCACGTACTCTTCAGGGCCTCGGCTCAAACTGGTTTTTCATTCAGAGTGAAGCTCTCCTCTCAACATGTCACACAACAACTGGAGAGCAGCGTGGGTGTCTCTCAGAACGGCAACTATAAGACATCCTACTGATTATCTGCCGGTTCACTGAAGAGGATACTGTCTGAAACACAATTTAAAACAGACTTCCTACATTTCATCAATGAGGGATTAGGCCCAAAATTACCTACATATATTTTTTGAAATATTTTAAGAATTTTGGACACACTTACTATAAATAAGAGACAAGATAAGGTTGACAGAAACATGTATTTTCACAACAGATGTTTACTTTGGGGAAGTTATTTAGTATAGTTTATTAAATGTATTTTGTATAAAAACACTTATCTCAAACAAGGAGAAGAGATGACCATGATCTGCAGTCCATGCAGGAACACACAACCATCAATGTAACAAATGCAAATTGTACACATACAAGTTCAAAAGTTCACATACTTTAATTAATAAATATGATAATAACACAGCTAGAAATACTAAAAAGAAAAGGCAGTGTTCAGAAATAAATACATTTTACAAAATGATGGAACCAAAAGAAAATGATCCTGCAGGATCTCAGATCATCTGAGATCCACAGAGAAATATGAATATTTTGTCAAAACGTCACATTGTACATATATCAAGACATTCCTATTCCTCTGTATATGTTACTCTAACAACGTCTGGAATGTAAAAGTCCCTGAACATATTTTTTCTCTCAAAGAAGGCTTGCCGTTATGATTTAGTACCCGTTTTCGTTCAAATAAAAGTACTTCCCTTATTCTTTTTAACGTTATTTTTGCGAGAATAACAATGTTTGCATATCACAGTCACATCCGACACAAGACATTTTTTACCTATCATTATTTTAAACACACAGCACAACAAAGCCCGAACAACATTGACGTCTTATAATGATGCCAATAGCCGTCATCATTGTGTGATTCACAGAAATACTTATCCACTGAAAAAAAATTAAAAGAACAAGACTTTCCTGTGCCATGCAGTGCCAGGTTACAGGATCATATCAAACCAAGTTTTGTTTCTCACTCCTGGAGGAAGTCACACACCCTTAAAAGGCAACAACCAGGAGCAGGTATTGTCACTTTAGACTTAGAGGAACTGTCATTCGTTATTGTCGCCTATCGTAGGAAGATGTGGGTGTGTTGCGTACTGGTTTATGCGTGAGTAGGAACTGGGCATCCTACTGTTACTCGCAGGCGATTTTGCCATCAAAGCTGGAGAGTGCGATAGCAAAGGCCTGCAAGGCACACATCGGGTAGTTGTAGTCCAGCGTGAAAATGTCATCAGCTATTCGACCAAACTGCATCACGATGTAGTCAACTGAAAGAGGCAGGAGGATTGTTCAAAGTTAGTTGGTAAATATTTAATTATGAATGTTAATTATTTTTATTTAAAACATCATCGCATCATTTCAGGATTTCAGGAATGTCAGCCTCATATTGAAGTAGACTCAGTAGGTTTCATCCTCTGGGGAAAATAAATAACATGGCAACCCTCCAACTGTTAAGGTGATTCAGTCCAAAGTGGTAGACTGATATCCATAAAGCCATGAGATAATAATAACTAGCATACAGTATAGGACATGATGTCATACGTTGTGTTATTTTAGTAGTTATGTCATAAGTAGATCACATTTAGGGTTTTTTGTGATCAGCTATTAAACTAATACAGGAGGTTTTGTGTTTTTAAATTGGCATAAATACCTATGATGTAATAGAACATAGTTTAACTTTGCTTTGTAATCTAAAACTTCATCTAAGAAATATCCAAACATTGTTCAAATAAGACATGTTAGTGAATCATTGAATGAGTCCCTAATAAACGTATTTCAATTGTTTGACGCCTGTCTCTATTATGAGATATCAAATTGTTTGAGAATTGCCATTCAAGTTATTCTTATAGATACATTTCATTATTCTCAGACAAAACTTAGGAGAAAGTACATCCAAATTAACCATCTTTGTCTTTTTACGAGGTTTTACATGTAAATGTTTGTTGGGACTTGACAGTAAACTGCTTTGTGTTTCTTTGACTAGTAACTTCATTGTAAAGGTCAGGAGTGTTTGTTTCATACGTATTTAGTTTGAAAAGGTAGCAGTAGATGTGAGTACTCACGGTCTTTGCTATGGACTATCTGGAAGTTCTTGATGGAGGCCTGGGTGACCCTGCCGTTGAAGTTGAGCACATGGGACGAACTATCTTCATTCCACACAGGCGTCTTGTTTTGAAGTTCAATCAGATTGTCCATGCGCCTATTCTGGTGCCTTATCAACAAGCCGTCAAGTTCCTGCAAGGAATTATCCAAACACAAATAAGGAAAAAAATGCAGACAAAGGGTAATCAAGTTTTACATGTTGGCCTTGTGTTGCTCTCATTATTTAATTATCATGAATACTGTGTGCAGTTTCGATACAGTGTGAAAACATTATGTATAGAAGCAGGGGATTCTGGGAGGGCTGACTTTGCTAATAGGCCATCAGATTATTTTACGCACATGATGTTTAACAAACAAGGTTAAAGACGCAAACTTGATAAATATAAAATTATACTGGTGGTCTATATGGTATTTTATTTTTTTGCAGTATTTTTTTATTTACCACTAAAAATTAAAAAATTGAGTTTAAAATGTAAAGTTACACTTCTTGGTCGGAGAGGCACTCGGTCGTTGTTTTTGTCCATCCCTGGAATGATAACCATCATTCTTCTGGGTCCTTTCATCCCTAAGACATTCGTTTCCTGGTGCCGGAAATAAAAACAGACAAAATTAAGATCAAATCAAATGTACTTTAACACATGAAATTCAATGTATGGAAAGCTCTCGAAAAGATATTATGGATTGATGCATACTGTTGATAGATCATTTTTTGTCCAAGAGTGACTTACATAAACGATGCCAGCCATCTCCTGCCGCGCATTAGACATGTCTGGAAGAGCTCTGTCTGGATTCAGAGCGTTGTCAAAGACAGTGAACTTAGTCCCCATTAGGTTAGACCTGGACAATACATATTACATAATTAATAACTCACAGTAAAATAAAAACTTGGATGATATATTGCTCCTTTTGAGGAAGGAATGATTATTGTACCTCAGCTTTCCAACAAAATTCTCTCCACCTCTCGATAAATCTGTGGAATCGATGGAGATCAGGTAATTTGAGGTTGCACATTTCTTCCTTTTCCTCCCAGCCAGCAGGAATGTCTATAAAGAAAAAACAAATCAAATAGTCCTTTTATCAAATCAAATCAAGTTTTATTTATATAGCACATTTATAAACGATTTTTGGTCGAGCCAAAGTGCTGTACATATAATAAAAATAGCCTACAGTAGAGACACTTTACAGCAAATACAACAGCACAGATTGTTCAGAATATCAGTATGAGAAAAAACGACACCCTCTATCCTTAGACCCTTTTAGATATTAAGAAAGTGAGAATTCACTTCATAAAATTATACATAAGGACTACTCCTATATTTTGTTACTCTGCTAGCAAAGTTAGATCCCAAAGACCTGAACGATAAGACTGTGATGAAGAGAAATCCCTGACCTTCTTCTCGTTGTCAAGGTGAAAGTAATACAGAGGGTAGAAGCCCTTGTCCATCCCTCTTTGGTCCCGAGTCACTCTGCATTTCACCGTCACGCCCTGCGGAGCTGGCTCTATCACAAACTTCTCCAAGTTGTCAAACTCAATCTCTGGTGAAGGAGCTCTGTCCTGATGAAGAAGCATTCAAATAAATGTAATCTGTTATTCTGAAATTTAAAATGATGCTATGTTGGCTTGTCTTATTTTATTAATGAGTGTAATTTGAGATTTAAGATACCTTTTTCTTCTTCCCTTTGCCCTTTTTCTTCTTTGATTTCTCTTCTTTTTCTGAGTCAGAATCATCACTCTGTTCTGCCTTTGCTGAAATGTACAACAACAAATATTACATTCTTGTTCTTTAGTTTATTCTTTAGTCACTCAAAGTACAATTAAGGTGCTGGTTAACTTGCCTTTTTTCTTTGTCTTCTTGTCTTTGTCTTTGTCTTTATCTTTGTCTTTATCTTTGTCCTTGTCCAATGATGTTTGGAAGAGGGATGTTGCGCTGGCGCTGGATTTCTTCTTAGATTTGGTTGACTTTGTCTCCTCTTCACTCTCATCACTGTCGGATTTGGCAGCTGCTCAGAGGATTGATATAAAGATTATCAATGAATTTCATAATTTGTAAAAACTCTTACAGACAGATTATTTTCTAAAATAGAGTCAACATCAGCATTAAGAAGGAAGCTAAGATGCAGTTTGATGGATGGATACAATGCAAAATGCAGTTGCAATAAAACTACCTTTCTTCTTGCTTTTTGAGTCTTTGTCTCCGTTTATCTGGAACATTGATGCTGGTTCTTTCTTCTTGTCCTTCTCCTTCTCCTTTGACTTGGATTTTTTTTCTTTTCCATCAGGATCTTTTTCCTCTGAGACATGACAATAATGTAACAATTTAGAAAATGTTATCCGTCCTTGAATGGAATACCAAACTGGAGAGTCATCTGAGCACACACTGAGAATGTAATCTTTTTTCTTTTATTGCCAGAGGCAAATCATGTAAATCACATTCCTTTGTGTACTAGACAGTGGGAAAACAAATCCAAACTGCAATTCAACCAGCAAGCAAGGACTTTTGACTGGAACCTTTTGCATATATCTGCTTGGAATTCACATGTTTAGCATACTGTGCAGAACACAAGAAATCGAGGCAAGGGATGCCACATTTTTCACACAAAACAAGTAGCAAATATCTATTGTACTCAAAACCTTAAATACATTCTGCATACTGTCGATACTCACAATACAAATGTGTGTTACACAATACCGAATCCACCCCAACATGAACTTATATATTTAGCTGTCGACAGAATAAAGAAATTAACTCCAGGGATCGAATTTAGGTAAGCGACTGAGTATTGTGCTAATTGTGGTTAGACACTGGTCTAATGTTGTCTGGTTGGTGAAACCTAGGAAGTCAAGGTTGGACATTTCTTTACCCTTTGTCATGTGAATACATATTGTGTAGATTTGAGACAATTTGTTTATATTTTATCCGTTATAAATACATAAGTTAGGAAGATGCAAGCATCAAATAACTCCAACTTACATTTTCAACCTGCAGTCTTTAGTATGCCTAATGTAGTCCAATATTGACTCCTATTTTAGCTTTGTATTGGTCGCATACATCATATCTGGTCCTGGTAAATGCTCCATTATGTAGTAGCCTAAACAAAAGCTCTGATGTTGTCAAATAAATTAAATACTACCAAAGGTTTGAATTATATCAAGAAAACTCATTTCTAAAACTTAGGAAAAAGTAATGAATTGTTATTTTGTAATTGTTATTAAAATGTTGTTAACTGTTTGACAACATGTGAAATGTTGATTGAACTTAAACTCTATAATCAAGTTTGGATCAAGTTTTGTAAATGTGGAGGAAACAATCTTCTTAAACAATATTTTAACTTACTCACCTTAAATACATTGAGAAGTATCATAATTTTGAATTAGACAACAGAAATAAATATGTTGCCATATCTACCATAAAGTATTCTATTAATATAATGCACTCCATTATCACTCTCCCAGTAAACAGATAGATAGATATTGTTAACTACGCAAGGAATAATACTTGAAGTGGTTACCTGTTACAAATACCTTGGTATCTGGCTTGATGATTGTCTCACTTTTAAACGTCATGTAAATAACCTGCTTAAAAAACTGAGGGTTAGGCTAGGTTTCTTCTACAGGAACAAGTCCTGTTTCTCGCTTGAGGCCAGGAAAAGGCTAGTCACTGTGACCTTTTTACTTGTGCTGGACTATGGTGATTTGATGTATATGAATGCACCTGCCAATTGCCTGGTCAAGTTAGATGCTGCGTATCACAGCGCACTGAGATTTGTGACAAACTGTAAAGCATTAACGCATCACTGTACCCTGTATGCAAGGGCTGGTTTGCTTTCACTAACTGTACGGAGGCTCAGTCACTGGTACATTTTTATATACAAAGCCATGTTAGGGAAACTTCCATCCTACATCTGCTCCCTGATCTCACGGCGAATTGTAAGTGGCTACTGCCTGAGATCGAATGCTGTGGTTTTATTAAAAGTGCCAACTGCTAGGACTGTCTTAGGGAAGACAGCTTTTAGATGCGCAGCTCCTCTGTCTTGGAATAGTCTGCAATTGAAATGGAAACTGAGCAATCTGGTGCCACTAAATGTTTTTAAAGCTCGGTCGGATGCTACTCAATCGGAAACTGTTGGTACCTGTTCATGTGGATAGTTATGTCAATTGTAAATCCCTGTAATGATGCTGTATGATGTCCTTTTTGTTGTTCTGTTTATGTTTCATGTGGAACCTACTTGAGCAGGTCTCCCTTGAAAAAGAGATCAATGATCTCAATGGGATTCACCTGGATAAATAAAGGTTTGAAATGAAAATGAAACAGAGCACCTGGCTGCCCTTTACTCTACAGGAGGAGCACAGAGCCATAAACACAAGTTGGAGCAGGTTTCCCTGACATGACTGATGGTTGATCTGAGGTGCAGGAAGGTTAAGTTCAGCTCAGAGGCAAACTCTCTGAAGGCGATCCAAGCAAAGTAATCGAAAAGAGCAACAACACTCTGGGCTATATCTGACAGAGAGTCAGTGTTGAAGTGATAATCAAGAAACATCTCTACACAGATAATCGCTTGTCATAGCTCAAGTTAAGTGAATGAGGAGCTAACCATGTCTAAAGTTGTGCCTCCCTACACTGTTAATGAAACAAACTGTCAACCCAAACGAATACTTAGTGATATTCAGTAAGTGCTGACAAAGGCAAAGAACCTGAAGCAGTGAATGGATATTTTAGGACTAGACTGGTCATGCTAGCTGCTCTGTTAACCATCTCTGTACTTTAGGGTGTAAGCATGCTAACATTAGCTAATTAGCACCAAACACAAAGCAAACAAAAGACTGATGGGGATTTTGCAGATGTTTGGTCATGAAAATTGAAAGTTAAAGAATTGCCAGATTATTTACCATGATGTAAACATCGACATCTGTATCAAATTAAATGGCATTTAGCCAATAGTTAACATTTGACTCCAAACTATAAATATCAATCTAATGGGGGTGCAACAGGAAAGGTCAGGCTAAGTCATAATTATACTCTGGGGACCAAGGAAATCTGGACTAAATATCATTGCATGTTATCCAGTTGATATTTTCGTCAGGGCCAAAGTGATGGCCAATGTCTTAATTATTCCTCATTAATCAGTTGTTATACTTAAACTAATTGTGAATGAGCTGGTCGGTTTGTAAAGACAAAATGTAAGCTTCTAACATCATGTTCTCTTTTACTTCGTGCAAAGTAAAAGTGTTGCAACATGCCACAGAGAAGTCTGTCCACACATCATTTTTAACTTAATTTAAATTAGATCTAAAAGGGAAATTGTAAGGATTTTAATGTTGCAAAATGAACTTTAAAGGTTGATTTCTTGAGGGAAACCTCACTTGACTGCTGTGATTTAGCCTCTGCCACCAAGTGAGTCAGGGTGCACGTGCTTGTGATTACACAATCAAATCATTTAATCTTCTCAACAACATTAGTCTGGTCTCATAACAGTTATTTAGGTCCCACTGTTAATTCCCTAATAAAACAGTTTTCCTGCCATACCTTTTGATTTAGATTTCTTTTCTTTGGCAGTGGTTGAAGACGGAGAACTGTCTTTTGTTGTTTTTTTCTTAGTCTTCTTTTTGGAGGTGTCTTCATCATCGTCATCATCGTCGTTATCGGTGCCTGAACCTGCAGACATGGAAAAAGTAGCGTATTATTATAATCATTTTCCAAAAGTACATTTGATTTATGAGTTTAATTGTATGGTATTTTTTTTAAGTTAGGTCTTTAAGGTTTTTAGACTCCCGGTTTTAACATTGACGTACCTTTTTTCTTTTTTGGAGCACTTTTGGATTTCTTTTTTGGCTCTTTCTCCTTTTCTTTTCCCTTTTCTGGTTCTTCTTGATCTTTTTCTGGTTTCTTTTTCTTCACCTTCTTTCCATCTATAATGTTGATACAAAAAAACAGCAGTGTGACCAATGTGGATGACCAATGTGGATGACCACAGTGTTCGGTTTGTCTGCTAGAAATGCTTAAAATATCTTAGTCTTTGAAAAAGTTCCTTACTTTGGATGGCAGGAATTTCCTCTTCGGATCCATCTTCATTTTTTTTTGTCTTTGTTTTTTTGGGCTTGGCTTCTTTTGCAATGGGCTTGGCTTCTGGTGTGCTGTTGGTTTCCTCTTTCTTCTTTTTTGGCTTCTATTGATTTTCTTTAAAAAGGTACAAAACGGATTAGTAGAGATTAGCTTGAGCAAATTGGAAGGACAGGAGAGAAGAGAAAACATGACAAGGACTGAACACAATAATAGAAATAAAAGAAATATAGGATAACTAAAAATAGCACTTAAGGACCTTTATCATTTATAAACACTCACCATTAAAAGTCAGACGTGAAAGGTAGCGAGGGGCAGAAAGAAAAAAAGAACAATTAAGTTGTAACTACTTCTACAGCTGTTATTAATATTGTTCTAGTATATAATAAACATTATTTATGCTCATTGGTTTGCATACAATGTCTAAGTAAGTCATGCTCGCAGTCTTAAAAGCGAGTCATGCTGTCTCAAATGAAAAAAATAGTAGTGCAATGAATTATATTTAATTTCTTGTAAAGCTGTATTTTAAGTTAGTGAAAGAGAATGTAATGATTACTATTATTTATAAATACAGACCTGCTACACAAAAAGGTTATAAAACAAGTGTATGCAACTCGCTCAAGCTTCTTCCGGAGTACTGAGAAACACTAAATACATTACACAATCACTCTTTACATCACACAAGATGGCAAGTCAATTAATTTAAAGAATCCCTGTAAATACATTTCATGGAATTACCTTTTTCTCTTCTGATTTTCTTTATATAAAATACACTGGATTTGGTCATTAATGCTTAATGAAATCAATCTTTGCAGTTCTTCCTTCATCACCTGCATTATATGCTGTCATCTTCTAGACACAAGCTTAAGGTATAGTACGACCAACAGTCCCATTCACACGCCTTTGTCTATGTATTACTATGTATATCATACAATAGTCAAATATATCCCTGTTTCAATGAATAGAAAGGGAACCAAGATGTGTTTTTAACAAGCATTTCACACATGTGATGACTAAACCATTGATAGGGGCAGCGTGTCCAGCCCAAGTCACAGAGAAGGAGGTCAGTGTGATTGCCGAGACAATAAAGGTAATCCTATTAGAGGCAGATCCTGCATTGATGGAAGTCTATTTTAGTTCCTTGACAATCTACAACTCACAATTATATAGCAGATTTGACATTTGTAATATTGTGATTCATTGTTATGAAAAGTGATTAAATGCCATATAACACTCCACCCATTTCAGAAAATAATATGTTTCTATTGAACTGTCGCCATTTTATTTTTAATTACAGTCCTTTACACAAAACTTTAAAATAGAAATAGATGTTTCATGTATGTACTTAACACAATCGCACTGAGGCGGCAAAGTATATCCGAACACTCTGAAATTATTCTGATGAAACACATGTTTTTAATGAATGTGTCTAAAACAATACTGTACTAATGTGAGGCATCGTTATGTAGCTCTGAAGGAGCCAACACATATGTTGCATGATTATTGCAATTCCCTGAGAGGATTTAGAACAGATTAGTATGAAATTATGATCCAATAATCACCCTTTAGTGTTGACCTAGTTTTGGCATTTGATGATAATTAGATTACTTGTTGACACATATGGTAATGCTCAAAGTAAATAGAGTAGGAATTAAAGAAGAAAATGGCATAATGAAAGTACTGCCGTTGCATATGGTTTGGACGTCGCCACAGTAAGCGGTGAGCTGGATTACTGACAGCCTTCAATCCCTTGTGCGTGCTTTTGCAGATGCACTGCTCGGCCAATGAGTGTCACACAAACATGTACATTTTTATTCCAAAATGCAACTTAATGTCAGATATGAATGCAATCCATGATGTAGTGTCTAGAGATGCTTTCCAGTTTTGAAATCCCTTCTGAATTCTGCCTTGCCTTATTCCTCTACTGTCATTTGTATATAGAGCAGTTACCTCACATGTGGGTCAGAGATAAACTAAAGTAAACACAAGGGGAAAAATGATTGAAGGATATCCCATGAATGCAGTGGGTCACAACTTTGCATACACAGTCCAACTGTAAATATTGTTGCATGACAACAGCAACAACATTATTTAACTCTTATTAAATGGACCTCCATCCCTTAGGCCTCTCTCCAGTTACCACATCACATTTTAAAGTAAATAAAAAAAGATCTGCCAAACCACAACCCCACCCTTTACCTTCTCTGCAGACATGGTGTGGCCTCTGCCTTCAGCTTTACCACTGCTTCTTGTCAGGGGTTAGAAAATAAAAAAAGCAGGCCTCTCAGCGGAGATAATGAAAGAGTGAGAAAGCCCTGTACTCAGACTCCATCAGCAGAAAGTTGTTAATAGGATTTATGTGTAAAGCCATCTGCTCTGTAGAAACACGTCAACGGGAGAAACCAACAAAGGCTCAGGAGGAGGGAGAAGACTTGTTTATCACGTGTGTCCACTGTCCACTATCCACAGACCAAACACTTGTTGTGTCCGGGGTACTCATGCAAGTCTCAGCAAAGATGTCATAAGGGGATGTTCCTTTTGTCTTTCCTTCACACCTACTGTTCTGTAGGTCAGACACTAGCAGTATCTAGAAATAAAGTCTTAGAGGTTTTATATAGTTTAAATGTTCAGTATTTATAAATTGGAAAAGTGTTGTATGAAAAAGTTGAAATCTATATAAAATAAAAATAAAATAATTACCTGAACTAGGGCTGAAACAGAATCCTCATCCTCTTGACTCCTGGGGCAAAAACAGTTATAAACAGATTGTAATTGATAGTAATGAAACAATATGTAAGTTGCTATAATGTAACTGCATGATTTATTACAATATTGTCATTTTAGTGTCCACTAAATACATAATGTTCCCAAAGTAAGGCTTTTAGTTTTCTATACAGTATGAACCTTTGCACGTGTGATCTGGAATAGGGCCGTAAAAATGTTTTTAAAATATCTATTAACCTTTGTTTTAAAAATCATTTTCTTGTCTTCATTCAAGAATTGTTCGTTTGGACATAAAATGTAACAGTAAAGCTGCCATTTTCATATTGCTCATTTTATTATACTGCCAGTCGAAACCAAATATTATTTACTATAATAACCCTTTGAACACAAAATACTCGTGGAATGATTACTTTATTAGGAATACCTATTGCTGTATATTCCATACTCTCACATATCTGCGTATAAACATATATTTGTACAGTTTTTTAAAAACATTTATCTTTGGCTTTCTATTTGCCATACTTTTCTTTTTTTTTTAAAACACCTCATCTAACCATATAAGAATGTATAATACAAAAATAATTAAATATAGCCTCCAAGTTTTACCCACAAAGAAAGTATTATAGCCCAATGAACTATGTGATATAAATACAATGTAATTCTAACAGTACCAGGTCACATTGATGTGCTAAGCACTGCAGTGCAGGCCATAGGTCTACCTGACAGCAACACAAAGATTTCCCATAATACTTACTGGTTTAGCGCCTCTTGGCTAGTGCCAGCGGAAAGAGGGCGTGGGAAAGCAGTGATTAACACTCAGTGAAACACATGGTCTCAAATAGGTTAGTAATGGTAGGGACGAGGAGGATAATTTATCCAACATTTAGACGGCCTCATATAAAATGCTAGGATATACATTTGCAAAGTTTGGTTCTGGTTATGCTGACATACCTGTTCCGTGTCCAGGCCTCTTTCACAATGTGATTGTGGAGAGGCATGGCTGATGTGTTAAGATGTTACAGCACATCCAGCCTTTGGTCTTAATAGGAAACATTAGAAAGAGAGTGTACTGACAGAAAATATCCAATGCAATGTATAGGAACATTTATATCATGAATTAACACAAGCTCTCACCAAGGATGATGTGTTTTTTCTAGGCTGCAGTGTGATTGTCTCCATCCAGCTTGTGAATGGCGACAAGGCTCCATACACATCCTGTAGCCCACAGAGGGGTCACGTGACCCGGCTTCTAAGAGGATTTTTAACAAAGCAACAGGTTTCCCAATCAACAACGCACCAGCACCAGCATGCCTGACCCTTCTAGTGGGATTACTCTAATCAGCTGCTCACCATCTGTGAGCATTTCTAAGGAGGTTCCCAAGAAACAGAAATATGGCTTGAGTGTAATTTCACTCAAGGGGAAAGGAAAACTGATTCAGGTAAAACAAAACAAAAAGCAACTTAAATTCTCCTTTTACTTAACCGGAGATAACAATTCACATCCATCAAGAGTTTGGAAATGAGAGAGGGCTCTTAATGGCAAGAAAGTCTATGGTTTGGATTTCAGATAAATAAATGTAATTAACAAAAAGTTATTTTCAGTTTAACAATGTCTATTAGCTCCAAATTAACTGCTGAGTGGCAGTTTATTTCACTAAGGGTACGACTGTGTAAGAGTGATGAAGGACGATGTTTAAATATATGGTATGAGATTAAAAGGAAGTGTCAGCACAGTAGATTACAAGAAAAGTGTGCTTTCTTCAGTCAACCACCAGATGTTGCTGGACCCCAAGAGACAAAAAACAGCAGGAAGCAGCTGTGAGGCACCAGGGGGCACATGGAGCTCCTGTTACTCATATTAAAAAAAATGATAGACTAAACGCACATGGTAGTATTAAAGAAGTTAGAAAACCTCATTATCTGTGGTGAGGTGGTTTTCTACAACTTCAAACCCTTCCTCAGTCCTGTCTGTTTGCAGTCTGTGAGCTCACAAAGGGAGATGGTAAGAGAGTATTCACAGCTTAAGTGAACAATAACACATGTGAATAAAGCAGGGAAAGTAATGTGTTTTGTAGTTTTATAAGGCCAGGTCCTTTGTCTCTCCACATCACCGTGCTCCTCACGCTGTCCAGTCTGCTGACTGGTGAAAAGCGGTCTAGACTAATGGCTTTGCTGGCATTTCTGCAAACGCTTGACAGTAACATGGCAGTTGGCAGGCAGCCTGAGGAAGGCCAGCGACCTCAAGGGAGCAGCGGAGGAGCCATCAAGATCTTAAAGGGACAGAGACTTCAGTGCCTTTCTCACCATATACTGTGTTCCCAATCCATTTTTAAGTCAGTTTTATTTTATTACTGTGAGCAATATTGTAAACATTGTTGAAGCAATGAGAAGCAGCGGGAGTATAGCAGAGAGGCTGTAAAAGCAGCTCTTACTATACCAACAACTGTAACAACAAGCCTGACTGAAATGAAAACACATCAATCAGAGTTATGGTGAAACAGGGACCGTTCAGAGCAGTTGTACAAACACTAAGCCAGGAAGAATTATGATAAATACATAAAGGTAGAGCTTCCAGTGGCAGGGACCAGTGTTTTATGAGGGGGTATGATGATGATATTTTAGTTCACAAATGGGTTGAGTGCTGAAACAGTCGTTGAGGACGTGAACTCGGTGACACTGTAGAGCCGGTGAATCATCAACTCAGAAGGGCCCGTATCTCAGGAAGGACAAACAATGAAGACAAAACAGGAAAACCTGGGTTTAATGAGTCTATCCCCAACAGAGGCATTGTTTGAGGAAGGTAAAGGGGTTCAAGAGAAGACAATGGGTCATGAAAGGAAAGATGTTAGTCCGGTGCAAAAATAGTCTCTTGGGTTGTATATACATTTAAACTCAATCTTATGCTGATGATTCACCAAGGACACATCCTAAATGGAGATAATAGGTTATTATTCTTACTGTTTTTAATCCATGTGAGGCAAAGTACAAATGTTGGCCTATGATTCGCAATATTGAGGGAATGTGGATATCCAATTAAAAGTGTCAAGCTCAGCTCTACATTGTCAGACTTTGCTATGCTTTAAATAGCTGCTGGGGTATTTTTTCCAATATAGCTAAGATAATGTTAATACTGTAAACAATTCTTAAAGTAAAGTTACAAGATCCATTTGTCATCTTTGGACTTGATCCAAGAAGTGTATTGCTCTTCTGAGGATTATGCTAGGCTGGGTGTTTCTGTCCAATAAGAGGTTTTTTCCTAGACCAAAGTGTTGGACAATCAGACCTAAATATAAGCATTTCTGTCCCTGACATGGAAAAAATAGAGAAGAAATTGGTTTTCTAAACGTTGGCTCAAGTATTTTGTGCTTTCACACCGGAGTACTTTTCCCCGTACTTTTCCCATTTAGTTCCGAGAGTGCCTGGAATTTTGCGTTCACACCAAAAAGAGAACTTAGTTCAGAGAACTTTTACCCCCATTTGTAGTAGCCTGCTAGAGAGGTGGTACTTTCCTGAGGCGAAAAAAGTTCCAATTTCTGATTGGCTGGGCGAATTGCAAACCACGCCCCGTAAAACTCAGAAAAGTATTTTGACGCCGCCATTGTATGTGCTGGCATTAGCATTATTAGCATTAGCCCCGCGCACCAACGGAGAGAGAATAACTTATGGCAACACAAAACATTGGAGCGGTGGAGTGATGAGGAGGTGTCGGCGTTCTGGCGATTTACTCAGAAGGCTTCAGTAGAAGCAGCTGAGAGTCCCAGCAGCTTCTACTGAAGCCAGTCCCTAACTCCGGGGACTTCCGGCCAGGGACTTCGGGTGGCAGTATACGCCGTGAAGTGGTTTGCGGCCTGCCAGTAAACCCAAAGCAGAAGAAGAAGAAGTGACGTCAGTGGCTTCATTTGCATAATCTTCCCTCAGGGAACTTATTCCGGTGTGAACCAAGCCCCCTGGAAGTGCGCCGGACTCTGTGCCCAACATTCTTTGTGTCCAAACGGCGGTACTGCAACTTCCGTATCAGTCCGTGACGTCACCCGGCCCAAAACAACTTTTTCCCATTGACTAACATGGGGAAAGAGACGTCTGTAAATCGGTGGATAGCATGCGCCCCTTAAGCCCCGCCCCCCAAGCTCCCACTCTCGGCTCATTAGAATGAATGGAGAGAGAAAATAAATGTAGATTCGGCTTTTAGTGCATTTTACAACTTTAAGGACCTAATGATTCTAATAAGGACTATAACATATTTAATACTGGGTAGTTGTATCCCCTTGTGGGGTCCTTTGGTTTGTCTCAGTTAGAATATCAAGTTTCTATTCGTGTCACAAAATGATTTGTTTGTTAGTACACACGTGGTATTGGACCAAAGGTTTGGCTTCGTGAGAAGATAAAGAGACAACACTGAAACAAAAGTTCCCCATGAAGGTTCAAGCAGGAACGTGTCAAATCTAATAAAGGGCAAATTGAGAACATCCCTTCACTCTGTTCTTTGACAACAGAATCTTATCAGCATCCTAAAAGGGGATCGTATTATTGCCATACAGTGAAACACATGGTGCATGATTTGCCCTGAGTGACCCATAAGAACTGAAGTACACAATGACTGTCCTGATGATGTCACTGCTGTATTGTGAGCAGGCTCTCAACTGGATGGTCCCAGTGGAGAGACCTCAGACGCTGGCGCCATGAAAACTATTAGGAACAACTCAATCCTCATAAGTACACAAACATAGATGCATTCCAATGTGTGTGATTATTCACTGCACAAACACAACCACAAACACACGTGACTGTAGGGCTGGATAAAAGCATACTTTTATAAGATTTGGACCATTAGTGACGAATTAAAGGAATCCTTCACCTCCATAGTTCCCATTTAAATATCAGTTACCTACCCTGTGGACCCTTGAATTAGAACACTTTGCTTTTTGCATGCCTTGTTTGTGAACAAAGAATTAATGTATAAGAAACAGCAAATGGTTGAAATGTTGAATGAATGGAAGTAAATGGGGCCTGTGTTTGTGGCAAAATGATATCAAAACATCCGTTTACCGCCTTGCACATAACTCGTGCTCAGTCTCAATAATCCACAATCATAAAGGTTGAGAGTTTGTAAGTGTATGATTTCACCAGCTGGAAGAGCATGTTTTCATAGAATGTGCAGTGTTTTCTTTAGCATCCTGTACAGTATGCTGCTTATTGTAAGTTGCAGAGAGAACTGTGTTTTTATAACCTCTGAGAAGGAGCAGTTGTTTCTGATAACTTCTACAGCTTACAGTGGTCATGTGATCTTTACACCCTTCCCATTGCACAGATAGCTGTGTGAAGGGTCAGTGTGTTTCTGAAGTGCTGACAGCTTTTTAGACGATAGGGAAACAAAGACAGTCTTAATTCCAGAAAGTTTTAATAGGCTTTACAATAATGTGAGCAGAGGGAGAGCTTACCCTAGGAATATGAGAATAACACTAGTGACAGTTAAAGTGTGTTGGGAACATACACTTTTGTGCACTTTATATCAAGTGCATTATTTTTTTAGGGCAAATGTTGCAGGTTAACACCACACAAGAGAAATACATCTTGAAAAGTGGTGACAAATAAACAACATGGAAGGTTAGATGAGAAACCCTAAGCAACTCAAAGCAGAAATGAAGGCAGAAGCTTGTGTGTGCTGTAACACAAGCAGCGCCGAGCCTCGTGAGAGCTTGACACACATCTGAAATGGAGGACAAAGTATCCAGGAAATAGTGCTGTAGCTTGCATTTCCTATTCTCTAGGTGTCTGTTATATAAAGGACAGCCTCTTCACAGTGATCCAGAGAGCTGTGGATCCCTTACAGACGAGCAGATGCCTGAGCTGGCACGAGGTGGCATTACCCTGAGAGCAGAGAGTAAAAGTCCTGGGAGCGGTCACTGCCCCGAGTCCCTGAGAGGCGGGAGAGAGAGTACAAAGAGCCGGCGCTCCCCTTGCAGACTTGTCCCCTGCGTTTTTCTGAAACAGGCAGTGCTTTTTTGAAACGTTGCCAATAGAGGCAGACCCGAATCCTTGCAGCTGAAACTTTTACAAGCTCAGTGTTCGTGAGCAGGAAGAGAAAGACACAGAGTTAAGATTTGTTAGCAGCTCCTCTCTTCTCCTCGAATCTGCCTGAGATGTCAGCACAGTGATTCATGCTTGCTTCTTTGTTTAATTAAACTACCAATTCTTGAAGGATATGAAGAGAAAATGTCCTGGAAAGAAGACTGCATGAGGAGATAAAGGATTTCAAGTTTATGTATGGACATAGTTGCTTTAAAAAAAAAATGAAGAGTCAGTGACGTCACACAGGAAGCTGTCTTGGATATTGCCTGAGGAAAGACTTTCTGTGGCACTCTGTAGCGTGGACACATTAAAGAAATTAAATCGTTGTGCTCTACTCAAGACTCGCACATTGGATTATTTTAGTGTATTCCTTCAATCTGTTGGAGAAGGTCTACGTTAAACCTTTTTTTGGATTTCTTGCTCGCAGAGATTTACCCTTTCCTTGCCCTTATCTCGCTTCAGAGCTCCATGACACAGATTTAAGGATAATTACCCGTTTAATCTGTTATGTTGACAGTAATGACTGCTTTCTATTCAATATTCCACTCAAATTAAATCAGAATCTCAGGTGTTACATTTCCTCTCTATCGACTCAGCAGAACATATGAAAAAAACCACAGGCAGGTGCAGAACAACTAAAGACGTTCGGAGTAACTACTGCAAATGGGAACTCTGAGGCATGTACTACCTGGGAATGGTGCCAACTGCTGACAAAAGGCTTTACTGCACGGAGAGCAGTCTTTAACTCATTTACTTTGAAATGCTTCAGGAATATCTGGCACTGAATTGTTTGACCAACTTTAGATAAATCTGTCAAACCCTCTGGCTGTGCTTCAAGACAGCGTGTAAGTATCACTTCTGATTTTCTTTCCCGACCTTACTTCTCTGTCTATTTCTCCCCCCCACCCCCTAATCCTACTGTCAAGTGAGATGTGTTTTTGATGACACATAATCTACAGTTCATATGACTGATCCCCTTTATGTGGTGGTGAGTTAAGTCTATTAACTGTGAGTTCTCCCTAAAGCACAGCTAATTGTATGCATATTACGGGTGGATTGTATATCTTTACTAGAGCCTTGTAAGCACAAATGTGTGACTTCATGATTTATTTTCCTGCGTCTCTTTCTCCTTGCTGTCTCTGCCTCTTGGCAGCGGGGCAAAAGTGGGCAGGGAGAGAGGAGGGCATGGCCCAGAATCTGCTCTCAAGCCCCAGCCCTTGTTCAAGTGGGGTTGCTGGTACACTGCTCAGCCTTTCCCTTGTCTTGCAGGCGAAAGAGAGGGATGTGGAAATACATTCTTGTCTGCTTCCTAACCCGCCTTTTTTTTTCTTTTCGCCGCCAACCTGGCCTAATTCTCTGAAGGTGAACACAAGCCCGACCTGTACAAAAAACTCACCTCCAGGTATTTCTAATTTTTAATTCTGCTTCTGTTTAGGTATTGATATTCCTCTTTGTACTGAAGTCTCCCTTTATTCCTTTCTTTTGCACTTCCTTTATGGTCACCTTCCATACTGTACACGTGTCTGCTTTGCACTAAACGCAATGCCTTAATCTCAAACGTTTCAGTTCGATTAATACACAGTAGGATTTACTTTTAAATACGGTAGTTTCTTGTTTCGAATGCATCCATAAATAATTATACAAAGCCTTTTTTTATAGTTACTGTAACGATCAGCCTGTTTACACAAACTGAACGATATAAACAAATGCCCCGAGTAAAAGACGTTTTTGTGGTTGTGTTACTGCCTCTTAAAGTACAGGACTAGTAAAAACCCAAATTTAAGTATAATTTACTGCAAGTCAGGGCCTTAAGACACTACAACTCGGCACTTTGAACAAACGCATTTCACCCAATCAAGAGTGATAATTGCCTCTAAGTTTCAAACAGGACATTCTAGGGGGAGATAAAAGCCATTTAGCCCTTTTGATTAAACATTTTGGTTTCTGTGTTGCAGGGTTGCTTCGAAGGTGCGAGAAATCTGCAAGGCAATACATTATATTCTATAACTATACTGTGACTACTGTTCATCATTTATCAAACCACAGAATGAAAAAGTATCCCACAGGCTGGTATAAGCATCTTAAAAATATCTGTGGTTTGTATATCACACAAGCAAATCATATCACTTCTTGACATGTTCTTGAACGCTGCGGTTTGATAGACCTGTTCACAAACCAGTATGAACCAGATCTCTCTGTTGCAAGCATTGTTCTATACATGAAGGGGCTTGCATTGTAAGATGGCAGGGTCTTGGTTTTAGATCAAGACTGGTTTGTTTTTTCTAACCACAAGAGGTGCAAAAGCTATAAAAACATTACTAAAATGGTACATAAACAAGAATAACTAACTTTCTTTACTTTACAGATTGCCCTCAAACTGTATATCAACCGACCAGTCTTGTTGTGGACTGATTGCAAACATTTTGGCATACGATACTTGCTGTGCAGCTGTGTGTGGTTTTGTTTGCATACAGTCGAGTCAGCATTTGTGTTTGTGTTTAAGTGTGTGATAAGGGCAGATTGTGGCATACTGTACATACGGTGAATGAAGAAAAAAAAAGGGGAGGGCGCAGTGAGGATGGGCAGTAAGAGAGAAAATGTACTTATTTCCTCCTCCCCCAGTTATCCTCACATGAACTTGCTTGATGACATGTTGTTTGGAAAGCCATATCCTCTGCTATTTGCACTTCTCTCCTCCCCTTGGTTCAATTGACTCCGTGGTTAACAGGATCAAAGTCTATTTTTGTTTTGGGTTGGTGCTTTTATCAGTTCATACCGCATACACATATTCAGCTCTTCCTGTTTGTTAGCAAAACAGACTTATGGCCTATAAACAGCATTTGATCTGATTATTCTGACCATGGCCATTTCACATTTAAAATACTACAAGTTAAAACTGTTCTACTTTTGAGCAAATGCTATTAGAAATCTATCTTGAGAGTAACATCTGAAAGGTCCAGAGTTCTATAAGAGGCCTTGCATTTGTCTTAAAGTGTGAAATATTAAATTGGCAGGTTTCCTGCGGCAAAATACAGCCATGTATATATGACAATAGTTTACTTAAAGGGGACCTATCATGCAAAATGCACTTTGTGATGTCTTTTATACATAAATATGTGTCCCTGGTGCGTCGGGAAACTCACGCAGCGTCAGAAAATAAAACCCTCTCTCTTTTCCTCCGTACCCAAATCTTTTAAAAACAGGGGTACAACGAGCGGATACAGATTTGCTGCCTATCTGACGTCAAATCGGCAGCGGACCCACAGAAAATTGCTATCAGAAACTCTGGCCGTTTCTCAATCTCGAGGATACTAGCTTCCAAGCCAATATTTCAAGGATGCTACGTCATCTAGTGCCGCCGAAGGACTGTTCCAATCTCCAGCATACTTGGAATTCCACCGAGGCCGCGTCCTTGGTTTGGGGGTAATTTCGAGGCTGCACATGGGTAGTCTTCGCATCCTTAAAATCCCCACAATGCTTTGCGCACGGACCAATTTCAAAAACCCTTGCGGAGAATGGCTGAACCGACACAGCACACATTTAAATGTAAGTATGTAGTGGCGTAGAACATCAGGGTTGCCAACTTTGGGTACCTGGCTGGAGTGAGATTTTGATATCATGGGTTTAATTACACAAATGCGCACAAAATGACTGCTATCGTGTCAGCAGTGGGACCTTAGCATATATATAGGATATATATATACAAATACACAATATTGGACACAGACTATAAAGGGCACACAGTTTCATTCAGTAATGAAAATCAAACACATGTTTGTTTCCACTGTTTTATTGTGTGCCTGTTGCGATAAGCAATTAATTGACTTATCGTACGATAAATAAAAATGAACTCGATACATTTCCATTTACATGAGGATGTGACTAGCAGTTTGAAAGGATGTACTTGAATTATTATTATATGTTATCATTATGTCAGTGGTCTAAAATGGTCATACAACGGTGCCGACAATATTATCGTTTATCGCAATAATTTCCGGGAAAATGTATCCAACAAAATTAATTATCGTGAGAGTCCTATACATGAAACACACACACAAACAAATCTACAGACTTACTCCAAACTGCCAAATATATTAATTAACACACTCTCACTCTAATATACTCTTTGACTCTATTTTGACCTAGTAGAACAATAAGCAGCAGACTTTTACTTTTTATAATTTCTACCGGATCTTAGATCTGCGCATGCGCAATACGGGTCGGCAGTTGCGGCTCCAGAGTTTTTTTGTTGGATTTTCCATAATAGGGCTAACCCATACAGTGGTGGGGCTCAAGTCAGTATTTGCAATGCAATTACATACACGCTCCCCTTGACAGTGAAATGCTACGCGTGAGGTTTAGATTATTTCCCTGTCTCAATCCAAATTGAGCTGTATGAAATAAAAAGGCACATTTGTCTTGTAGTAAATAAAAAGGGCGACCTGGAGCCAATCCTGCAATTTCCCCACAAGTGAAAGAGTTGACATGCTGAAAACCCAACCCCTGGGGGAATTGTCTCATAGGAGATTTTTTGAAATACTAACATAAAATACACATTCTGGTACTCTCTTGAGAAGAAAAAATAAATAAATCTATTGCTACACCACATATTTAAAAAAATGTATGCAATTTTAGTTTTTTGTTACTTTGTTCTGAAAGCTGAACCTGCTGCTCCTCACAGAGAGAAGAGTGAAGAGGCTGTGTGAATTACTTTACACTGTAAAGTTTACAGTGTGGATAAGGGTGGATAGCCCCATTGTTCTGTGTCTCAAAATGAAAGACAGCCCACACACCTATCAATCATCAAACCGTGGGGTCTTATTTCATTACGTGTTGATTTCTATCAACACGTAATGTTGTATCGATGTAGAGATGTACTACAGCAAAAGTATTCTCCGTCGGGACTTCCTGCAACAACACCACGCCGTTATCTTGATTCTGATTGTCCAGAAGACATTATCAAAGATGTTCTATTGAGAAGACGATCACTACGTGACAAAAGTTTTCAAAACCCGTTTCTAGTCTTCGGTATTCTTGTTTTTGGCGTGAGAATAGTTTAGGCAGCGTGATATTCAGAGTGAAAGCGTTGTCGTTTCTCAATCGCGAGGATGCTGGCTTGGTAGTCGCGTACCAAGTCACTTCCTTCAGAAAATGAACCCAGTATACTTCCAAGCCACGGCTTCGGAAAACGAAGAAGAATGGAACAGACTAACAAGTGTGCCACTCTCTCTAACGGTTTCAACATAAACTGTACCGAAAATAAATACCTCACGATGTCTATCTAATAATGAACTTGCTTTACTTTCGCGGAACACATTTTTGGTGATAACAAACAAATGTAACAAAGTAACATATTTACCAACATATGTTCTACGCCACTACATACTTACATTTAAATGTGTGCTCCGTTCAGCCATTCTCCGTAAGGGTTTTTGAAATTGGTCCGTGCGCAAAGCATTGTGGGGCATTTTAAGGACGCGTAGTCTACCCATGTGCAGCCTCGAAATTACCCCCAAACCAAGGACGCGGCCTCGGTGGAATTCCAAGTATGCTGGAGATTGGAACAGTCCTTCGGCAGCACTCGATGACGTAGCATCCTTGAAATATTGGCTTGGAAGCCAGTTTCCTCGAGATTGAGAAACGGCCCGTGTCCCACGCCAGATGCGTGAGAGTTGGCAAGCCTGGCGTAGAACATGTGTTGGTAAATATGTTTTGTTACATTTGTTATCACCAAAAATGTGTTCCGTGAAAGTAAAGCAAGTTCATAATTAGATAGACATCGTGAGGTATTTATTTTCGGTACAGTTTATGTTGAAACCCTTAGAGAGAGTGGTACTTGTTAGCCTGTTCCATTCTTCTTCGTTTTCCGAAGCCGTGGCTTGGAAGTATACTTGCTTCGTTTCTGAAGGAAGTGACTTGGAAGTACGCGACTACCAAACCAGTATCCTCGAGATTGAGAAACGGCCAGTGCCTGACGTGTTTTGGACTTAATCTCGTCTTTGTTTACATTAGCAAGCCTTGCTAACACTCAGAGCTAACCTGTAGCCTACTGTAGAAGAGCACATGTGTTTAAATAGCAGGAAATAAAAAAAGGAACTCACCTTGTGATAAACCCGCAAGAGAAAAAGCATTTGAGCTCCATACTGTTTCAGAAATAATCTTTGATGTGGTTTAGTTTAACAGGATGGCGTTTTATCACAGCAGAATTTAACTTTATCTCCGGTAGAATTCTGATCAGGCATTAGCTCCGCCTCCTCTCTTCTTCTTTTTTCAAGCTAAGGACCCAAAATCCGCGTTTCTCTAACAGGGCTGCAACAGAGGGGTATGAGCAGTATGAGGCATGGCTACAATGGGTGAACTGTTTGGTATTTTAAGCAAAAAACTTGGCCTTACAATATATTTTTCCAATATAGCATAATAGGTCCACTTTAACTTTCAACTCCAAACATTCTCCTCATACTGTTTAAGCTTTCAGGCCTTTGTATTGAAATCAAGCAGCTTAACAAATGTGCTCATTTTAAGATTTTGTAATATCCCTCAAACCCTTACATTTTTGTTATAAAAATGTACTAATACTTGAACAGAAAAGTAATTTTGTACCGGGAAAATAAGAGAAAATAAATAGAATAAAGTCAGGAGAATGGAATTTTAAATTAAATAAATAACGTTGTGTTTAATTGTACATTTCCCAAAAGATTACTAACTGATTCAATAGTTTAAAGACCTGAATTTCCTTGTGGAAAAAACACCATCACAGTCAAAGCCCCAAAGAAGTCCTCTCTAGAAGTGTCTGTAAGTGTATCTATTGGCTCCGCACATTAAAATCAGTCCAGTTTATACTGAAACGTTAATGCTCTCAACGTTAATCTGTGTTAAACATAACAACAGATAGGATTACTCTTCTGGATTCAATTGAGAAGTAGTTTTTGTAATAAAATACGACTCGGTTATATGGTGCTTTCCTTTGAAATTACAATTAGCTCATAGTGTAGAATTGATGTTCTAATAAAGATGTCAAGACACATCAGCTGCCAAGAAGAGGTAAACTCCTGAGTCGCATACAAAACATAACCACTTGTCCAACATAAAGACAAAGTCTTCTTATGGCACAATGGACTTTTCTATAAAACACCTAGCTTACATGGCAAGGACACTGAGCATCTGGCAGCAAGCTATGCCACTATACCTTATTGTGTGGTGGTATCATAGCCTCTTTCTGACATGGCATTGTCTCATTGCTTGGCTGCCAATACTCTCCTCCCCCCTCAGTGATGGGTTCTGCCATGCTGCATCCACGACATCTCCCCCTTTTTGTCTCATTGAGATTCAGCTTGGCACGCAGACAATGCCCATTTCTTGGCACCAAATATTGGAGAGAGCAGCACAACAGAAACAATCAGTCTGTCCCTCACAGTCGTCCCTCGTTTCCGTCGATCATCGTGGACTAACGCCAACCTGTAAAGGGTATTTTTTTGCAACTTCATCTACTATATTCTTATTTTAGATGTGCATTTGACATCACGGATATCTTTATTAAGTTCAACGTTTACCACTTTTAGACAAGCAGCTATAGGCATCTCTATTCAAGGCAACAGTGAAGGAACGTGTCAGTGATATGTTTTTTGGGACATTGATTGTTCCAAATGAGTCTTACATGAAGGTCATGGATTTATAATACTATTCCTTCGTTATACTCTGCAACAGGGCAGCCATTTTCCTATCATCTGCAGCTTGGGGACTGACTTACTGTCAAAGGCAAACCATCACACCAAATGGGAACATTTGAACAAGATAAGAACCAGGGGCGGACTGGGGGGAAAAAGTGGCCCGGGGATTAATTGACAGACAGGCCCACTTAATGAGCGGCATGTATCGGCCGGCCGGCGACGAAAGTATGTTACTTAACAAAAAACCCTATGCATTTTATGTTATTTTGGACAATTATTCATATAGTAATCACATTACCTGATCCCTTGAGTTGCCTAGAGCAAAAATAGTTACAGCATATATTTAGTGATTTTAATGTTAACAGATCATTGATGCAATAACATTTTGACCCAATTTGCCTGACTTGACACATGGAATAAAACATAGGCGTAGGAAGGTCAGGATGAGCTTGCCCTTTTTTTTTTTTAATGTTGAAGTTAAATGCATCAATCTGGTGCACTTTGAGAGCAAAATTAGGGACTAAATCTATGGCAGTCAGTAGGGGCTTGGACTGTGAGCCGTAGGGTCGCCGGTTCAAGTCCCCGACCAGACCTACATTTGGAGTGTGGACTTCTACTTGGAGAGGTCCCAGTTTACCTCCTGCCCTGCCGTGGTGCCCTTGAGCAAGGCACCGGACATCCCCCTTCCCCCCTCACTCCCATTGCTCCCCGGGCGCTGTACAATAGCTGCCCACTGCTCCTAGTACTAGACTCCTGGTACTAGGATGGGTTAAAAGCAGAGAACACATTTCACTGTGTGTGCTGTGTGCTCTGCATGTGTGACCATTAAAGAGGGTTTCATCCCTCCATATTATTCTTCTTCAACACCCATATAAAACAGAACTGTTAACAGATTTAGTTTTTCTTTCAACATTTATTTGAACAGCAAGTGGAGGCAAAAGTGACTGCACCCAAAATAATAAACCTGCTAGCTAACTAGCTTAAACTCAGTAACAGAATGTGGGCAACACGTTCTTCTCCACAGCCGCGCAACCTCTGAGTCAGACGTCACTTCCCCCTTTTCTATCCTACGGGTACAGCCATACAGCGCACTGGGCTGGGCCGGAACACTTACAAATATGGGCCGGTAGGATTTAGGTAAGCAAAAAAAATAAAAAGGGAGTGGCCGGAACACTTACAAATGTTGGGCCGGTAGGATTCAGGCACCACACACAGCACCGGCCCACCGGGGAAACTCCCGGTATTCCCAATGGCCAGTCCGCCCCTGATAAGAACCATTGCTTTAGTTTTACGATTGTAACCTACCCACACTTAATCGTAAAGGAGGTACTAGTTGGAGTTTAGATCTAGCAGCTTTGGTTTTAATGCATTAACAAACAGGATATTGGGAAACAATCAAGGTAAGAATGACTAAAAAAAGTGTACCAGTCTGCATGCCTAACTGGCCTGGGATTGTGTGATGTATTTGCTTGGGAATTACAACTTGTCTAAAGTTGTAGTAGCTGTAGAAGAACTGATGTTTCAATCAGACTGGCTGCTGTTCATTTAATGAAAGAATGCAAAAAACACTTTATGTTTTTAGTCTGATATTATTTTTCATATGTTATATAACTTAAGATGGATGAGCACACATCTAGAAACAAATAAATGTTTCTAGAAGTTTTCAATGCATCACCATCAAACAGAATAATAGTCACCACAACAAATGTTTATATCCCACAACTTTTCCTGTATAGAAAGTTGAGTCCACTTCTGCTTTCACTCCTTCCTCTTTGCGTTGGCGAGGCATTTAGAAGATTTTGATACCATTTACTGTCTAATTAATTCAACATCTCAATTAAGGCCTCCCACTCGCTGATGCCCTTGTGCCTTTTCATTCTGCCCCAATGTGCATGCCCTGGCACCATAGCTGAAAAGCTTGCCAAAACATTTCAATCACTGTCGGCATTAATTAGGCCAAAGAGAAATTCCGAATGTTAATGACCTGCCCAGCTGCTTTTCAGCCACCATGGTTCACATGCTAATTTATGCAAAGCACCCTGGCTTTTGCATGGGTTGACCATCGTTGTCTACCATAACATTGTCTAGGCTCAGTCTGCTCAGCCAAAGTACGGCTCTGTCGGGGACCAGACAGCTCTGCCCAGCTTGTGTCCCAGACTCTAGCTGTTGGCACGGTAAACAGACTCCCTTTTCAATGGACTTTAAGTGGCTTTCACACGGAGCAAAAAGGGCAATATTCTAAAGTCAAACCTTCCGCTCCCCTATTAAACGACCTCAAGCGAAAACTAAAAATCACTTGCTGGATATCTTGGCACGCATTTGGGAATCAGCAACAATCAAGTCTGTGAAGTAATTTATGAACAAGCAATTCTTTTAGCCAGTCTCAACATCCCCTCTGCTATTCTTTGAGGGAAAATAAACAGTATTTCTTCTAGATAGGGGTTGGAAGGAAGAGGCAAAAGTTAACAGGTTGCACCACAGATGTTTGGTACTGGTGCCAAACTACTTTCTAAGATGGCCGAGGTACTGCCATTTTCCATCGTTTTTCCTTTGCTTTCTGGTTGTAGAGACAGAAATGACTGAACTGGGTGAAACATGCTTAAACTTTGCTTTTTCAAATCTCTGAGGGATAGGAGCTGGAGAGCCAAGTTTTCGAGTAAAATAGGCACTGATACTTGGCACAGCTGCCCTACATGATAAACCTTTTTCATGAAAGTAAGCTCTCTGGGTTCTACAGTGGTTTATATTGTATTTAAAGTACTAATCATTAAGAAAGCAGCATTTATTTTGCACATCACCAGAATGGGCAGTGTAGCCGATCACCTGTTGTTCTAAAACACTGGCAAAATACTTGTGGAGAGCAATGCTATCGGTCAGATACTGAACAACACTTACACACAGTTGCACTGTCAAGCTAGTTGTAAGTATGGTGAACTGACCCTTGAGTTTACAACTCTCCAGCTAAAATGTGATAAGCATAGAGACTGTATGCTCCTAGAAGGTAATTACTTATAAAACTGTTAACAGAATACCTAATTTCATGGTGATGGGGTTGTCATTTGAATAATGTTGTTTAACAGTTGGTATTTGTGAATGTTGTTTTTGATATTGCAGCAGCTTACGGCAACCAAAGTCACAATTACATGTCATAGGGAATTTATTTTAGAGTACTAAATGGACAACATGCAGGAAAACCTTCACATCTTGGCCAATACACATGTTGAAAATACTTGTTAACAATTGTTTGTCTCAGGTGGATCCAAAAGATAACTTATTCTCTCTTTGTTTTTGTCTCACAGTTGGACCAAATAGATGTCTACTGCTGCCTGCAAGAGTATCTGTACTTAAGGCTGAGGTAGTAGATTGAATAGTTGTGGGGTTTTTGTCCTCCCTCTGAGATAACTATACAATCTACTGTCTTTCCTAAGGAGACAGGTTGATCTTCCAAGCCAAAGCCTGTACATGGGAGGCTCTGTGGATAAAAGGAACTCATGGACACATCAAGTAAAGTGGATTTAGGAGATAGCGCGTTCTTCACCTTTGAGTAGAAGACTATATAGTATATAGACACATATACTGATGGAACTAGTCTAATCTAATGACAACACGTACTGAAGTTGGCACATAGAATAAAGTCATGATATTTGGTTCCGGAAATTGAGCCTGGCAAGGTGAGGTAGTAGGTTGTATAGTTTGTGGGATGGAGTAAATCCTACTCAGGCGATAACTATACAGTCTAATACCTTTCTTGAGAGGTACAATGAGTGCTTGGGATGAAGCTCATTCACATGGGTGACGCCATCATGTGGCCAAAGACTATCATCACTCTGAAGATTATGGAAAGTTTGGTAACTATACTCTGTGTATCTAGGGTCATGTTCACAAACATCGTAAGGCTCATTGTAATACTGACATATAAAGGCACTTTCATGGCCATCACTGCGTAATTCAGTCACATTTTTACCGAATCAAAGTATGAAAAATTGTCAGCTTGAAATAGCTTAAATATTAGCTTAAATATTACATTCCCATGTTTTTTTACCAAATGTTTTTTTTAACGTTAGATTTAACACCAATGATGTTAAATGCTAGATGCTAAAATATTTAAAATAGTGTTATGAATAAAATCTATGAATATATTTCTAATTGTTGAGTATTTTGTTCCATTTTCTGTGTGTTTTATTTGACATTTTAATTGTTTTGCCTGATTGAATTTAATTTGTGAAAATAAAAAGTCATTTATTATTATTAATGGATTGTACAGCAAGAGATGTGTATCAGATACATTGTTAATCAATTAAATAAAGCCATACGAAACTCATTTGGATTGCCTCAAATGTAGAATGTTGTTTAGTGTGATAGTTACTGAATCTGATGCTGATTGCTAAAAAAAAAAAAAAGTTTTAATAGATCCTTTGAGAAAATAGTTACAAAATGAGTCACTATAAACTCAATGTGTTTGGATATGATTCTGTACAGTATGCAAACTTCATACTTCAAACTTCGACTCCACTTCGAGCAATACAATTACTAACAAAGCACTTATACTAACAAAGGACTGGCTTATCTAAAGCCAGTTGAGTAGCACTTAAAATGGTTTGGCTCTATGAAATCTGATGTACTTATACGATTCTGTTTTATTCAAGTTTGTATCTTCTTGGTCGAATGCACTTATTGTAAGCGTCAGCTAAATGTAATGTAATGTTCATGATAAAATAGGAAATGACATTGTGGTTAATGCCTTCGCAACAGGAAGTTTTATTTTTTATTTAGCTGCATGCTGTATTACAAGTTGAAAAGCTGATTTGAAAGTGCCCCTGTTTAATGTAGACTAAAGGAGTGATTCTCAAAAAGTGTTCAGTGGAACCTGGGGGTTTGTAAAATAGTTTGGTATAAATTATATTTATTATATTTTGGGCCAATAGAAACTGACACAATTGTAAATATTACATCAATACGTTTTAGGATAAAACTACTTTCAATGGCATAAGAGTACAACTCGTAGTGAGCCCTGAAAAGTTTGAGAACCTCTGGACTTTCAAAATGTAAAAGTACACTGGCTAAAAATTGTGGCTCGTAAATATGCAAAACCGATTTACCGAAGACAGAAAAGTAAATGCTCACTAATAGACTTTATTCATGAACATTACAGACAATTTCAATTGACTTTGGACTAATTACAAAAGCTGCTGTAGGTAAAGAAGAATGTAGCTATATACAGTGGATTTCTTGATGAGGAAATAAGGAACTTAAAAAATAAAAACTTTTGATTTCAGATCTAATAACCACTCCTACTACTTCAACTGAATTTCAGAAATAACAAAGTAAGACAAACATAAATCACAAAACAAATGACAGGCTAATAAAATAAATACTGCTCACGGAAGAAAACTTTTATTCATCTTTGAATTAAATTGATGTACCAATGAAATCAGGTCTCAGTGCCATTATTTGTGAGAAGCTGACGGTTTGGTGTCTATTCATTAAAATCTCTCCTGGCTACACAAATACTATATCTTGTTGTGACTCATTAATAGCATTTAAATAACTGACTGATTTAGATGTATTTTTACATTTAGCAGACCTAAATTAATTTCTCCAAGAACGTGGGTTTGGTTGTGAACCAGTAGGAAAAATAAAATGTCTATAGTATTTGGTTAATGCTTCTTGTTAACGATGGCAGATAAATAAATAGTTTGTTATGTTCGAGGGATAAAGAAGCCATTGAACAGAAAAATGTGAACATATATGTTACATAATAAAATCCAATACAACAGCTCTACAATACATTTCTCCTTCCTAAAATGTGAAAGGTTTGTGTCAGAGATTAGTTCCTTCAACTCTTTGGTCATTTATCTAGGCTTTTTTGTGGTATTGTTGTGTTACACTGAATCTTTTTAAATGTGTCTGGTGTTTTTTCTTCTTCCTTTTTGGACCGCCAATAAAAAAAATCTATACAAATGATACAGTATATGATACAGTCTGAACATAAAATAACATGTTGCAGAGCTTTTGAATAATGTGTCATTGGTTTCTAATGGCGCTTTTCCACTGCAGGACCTAGCATGGCTTAGTACGGTATGGTTAGGACTTGGTAGGCCAGGCTCACATTATGCTGCGTTTCCATTACAGTTTTGGAACTGGGGTAGTAACTATAGTAACGCAGTGTAGGCAGGGCAATCGGCTGTTTGGCGGGCGGAGTGACGCTGCGTAAAACTGCCGTGACGTCATCTTCAATGCAAACCATGATGCGAACCACAAGTCCAAAACATCAGCCGTTAGCTGTTAGCACTCAGAGCTCACAGCTCCTCATATCTGTTCAGAAACTAGGCAAAAGTTAAACAAGTACAAACCACAGACTGTCTGTGTCATGGCGAATACAGTCGCTGGTTTATTTATGTCTGTATAGGCCGTTGTTGTGAGTGTGGACGGAGCATATACAACGTTAGCTTGGCCTGATCGATCCGATCTCCATTCAGAAAACACGCATTTCAAAAGGTTTTTCGCCTGCCGTCTTATCTGCAGACCGGTATCAGTATGTTGTTACTTCGGCATAATTTTGAAACGTGTATTACAATTAAATCAAGGTTAAATATGTCCATTTTTTTGTAGCCCCCTTGCCAGCGATTCTCTCTGACCATTCAGCAGTCGAGAGTGTTTACGTCACTAGTTTAGCATATTCAGCCCGGTTGTTGGCCCGGTAAGAACCTCGATTTTGGAGGGCCAGAAAAAAAGGTGAAAAAGTAGCCCTGAGCCCTACCGCTAGTGGAAAAGCAAAAAAAAGCTTAAACCGTGCTACGTGCTGCAGTGGAAAAGTGCCATCATTTTATTATTAAGTTTACAAGCAGTACAAGAATGTTTCTAAAGTATAGATAACAATGATAATTGTGCTTGAGATTTCTGGAAACAGACCTGGTTTTTAAAGATTCTCTTTCGAAGATTGTGAAGGTTTTTACCATCAAACAGCGCTTTCTGTTGAAATAGGTTGAAATACACATGAAGAACTGAAACTTGATGGAAACAGAAAAATAACACTGATGTGAAACTAAAATAAAGCTCTTAGACAAGTGGAAGTTGCCCTTCTTCTCTGCAAGACTGTTTTTGCTACACTCCCACTCACACACAATCCTGAACATAACATATCTTTCTGAGGCTAGATGTGTTTACCGTATCAATACATCTTGTGCTATCATCTTATGCCATTATCCCAAATACTAACAAAAGAAGCGAAGACAAACAAGGACATTTTCCTTCACTCATTATTGGCATCACTGTTACTACTGGGAGTATTGTCTGTTGTCTGGCTTGTCTGAGATCCTTGATTTATTTCTCCACATGAGATGTACTGTCTCCAGAGCTTTAGGTACGCTGTCTTGATCTTTTCTATTTTGAACGCATACACAACTGGGTTTACAGCCGAGTTAGCATGAGAAAGCAGGATGCCAACATGGATATATACAACTGGTATATTGTTATTCCCACGGAAGTAAGTAATGCAGTTTATAATGTGGATAGGGAGCCAGGACAAGGCAAACAGAGCCAAGACCAGGGACAGAGATCCTGCCAGCTGTTTCTCTTTCTTCAGGTACTTCTGACACTGTTTCTGGGCCCCGTTGCCTGGTTTATCTCGAAGTTTTCCTCGGATGGTGCAAAAGATGTAGCCGTAAAGAGCGGTCATCACCAACAGAGGTATCAGGTTGCAGAGAATAAAGTTGAAGTAAACCAGGTATGACATGGGGATGACAGCAATAAACTCACAGATAATGGTGGAGTTTACTGACTTAGACAGGGTGTCATGGTTGTACCATCCAAGCATGGGAGCAAAACTCAGTGGTATTGCAACAAGCCAACATGCTGCGACCACAAGGCAAGAATGTCTCTGCATCACAGTCCTTTTGTACCTACAAAGAAAAAAATGCATTACTGATAACATTAATTATGTACACACAGTGCATTTACAAATTATATGAAACAATCAAGTCATTGTAGTGATATGTTTTTTATAGTGCAAGCCATGCAAAAGGGCAAGAGATGAGTTTAAGATAAAATAGATATTGATGTAAGGCTTATGATATAAAGCCAAATTGAGCAGCAATATTTAACTTTTCTCTGCACAATAAACGATCGAGAAGAGGTCTTACCAGAGAGGGATATGCACCCGGAGGAAGCGGTCCACAGAAATAGCCGTGAGGGACAAAACTGAGACCAGAGTCAACAGGACGACCACACAGCTGATGAAGACACAGCCATGAAATGAAGTGGGCACTCGTCCGTCCACCACCACAGCCATCGGTATGGCAACGCAGCCGACCAGAAAGTCAGCCACAGCCAGACTGACGATAAGACTGAAGGTGGGCTCCTGAATGCTTTTACTGGTCCACAGCGCCAAAATCACCAACATATTACCAAGACAGCAGCTAACAGCAATAAGCACCTCAAAAAACGTGTAGATCATTTCCTCCACATCCATTGTGCTTCCTGTGACTCTCTGTCTAATGTTTGATAGCTGATGTGGTTGCGTGTCTGAATGTGAGTCTGAAATTGTGCTGTTGGGCATTTATATCATTCATCTAGTTATTGTGAAACCTTTGAGGAAGTACTTGGTCACACAAGTTTTGTTTGATTTGCCTTCAAGATATGCATCTGCATCTTTTTGCAGGCTTATGACATTATACTTGTTTGTCATTGCATTATAGAATTTCATTTTTTTTTAATGCTGAATAAAATAAAAATATTGTGGTTTCAAGAAGAAAAAAAAAAAATTGACAACAAATATATCTTACACAAGTAACTTTACCGTTTAAAGTAATTTTACCTTAGATACCACATTTTAGGTGTTGTGATTATTGACACAGATTTGTGACCATGCAAAATACTTTGTTTTTAAACTGCTGCCCTAAAGCATGGAAGGTAAGTAAGCCACAACCACATTCACCATGCAAACATCAAGGTCAACAAGCCACTATTCCACTAATCCATGAGTTTCTTTCAGGTACAATGTCACAGTCAACACTGAGCTGATTTGTATTGTGCTGCATTTGTCAATTCAGTTGAGTAACAACATAATACTTTTGATACCAATAAGAATCCCACATCCTTGTTCTTAAACTCTGAGAATTGTTTTCTCTCACGTATCTGCTGTGTTGTCTTTGTACCACTGGTGGTGTATTTGTCATCTTATAATATGCACCAAAAGAATGAATGTTACTGACTTACATACAATACTTGATTACCATATTTACGTTCAACTATCGAATTAGCCCAAATTACACTTGAATTATTATTTTAAATTAAGTTTGTTTATATGTCTATAATTGACATTTTGCAAAGGTGACAGTGGTATTTGCTGCCATTAACTTGTCATGTATAAAGTTTATTCTGTCACAGAAAAAAATTATAAAGCCAGTTAACAATTATTTAAACTATACTTTCAATAAAAAATTATTCTCCAAAGACTATTCAATTATACAGACAGTGAATTGGGGCCCTGCAGTGGCCTGATTAATTAGAGATTACTGTAAAAAGGGAAATTATTTCAGATTAAGATTCAACTTTATTGTCATTACATAGTACATGTCATGTACTAGTGACAAAATGTAAATTAGACATCTGACCAGAAGTGCAAAATAGCAGTGCAGGAGTCTACATAATAAGAATAATTATAAATAGAATAATTATAATAGGCTATAAACAGATGAATATATCAGTGACATGCGGTGAGGTTCATGGCTGGTGAGGCACTGACTCTTTCAGAGTCAGATTTACAAATATTCTATTTTGACCGTAATCGAAATATTCTGCTATTTTCAAAAGCTTTTTTAGTCTGATGCTTCGATTCATTTTAAACAGACCGTTCAACAAAAGGATACCCAAAATGTAAATATTAGATTGTTCTCTCTTAGTAAGATCCCATTTTCATTACAATTGTAGTCTTACCTTGACTTGAAGATTAAGTCCATTTGCCTATCCTTCTGGACAACAATCTCTATAACTTTTTTTGTAAAAGTCCTCCTTATCTTCCTCTAGTTTCAAAAGTCTAGCTTGCTGTTTGCGTCTCCCGTCTCCGTATAGAATAACAGTAGCAACAATAACCTGTGGGCTCACGTGCGGGCCCTTCAGTGCGGCAGAGGTTATGGCTGCCTCCCCTGGTGCTTTCTCATTGTCGTTGTATGATGAGACTAAATATAAATATCATATTTATATATATATTTATATTTAGTCTTAGGTAACCTTAAACCTTATTGGAACATTATTTGAAAAAATAAACATCCTAAAAAGGTTATTTGAACATCAGATTAAAACGTTTCTTTAAAACATTATTAGAACCTGTAGGTAACGTTAGCCAACGTTGTGAGAATGTTCCCCGCTAGCTGGGTGACTGCTCAGAGCAGCAGACTTCAGATAATGGTTTATGGTCCTGCCCTCAACAGCTCTACATCAATGTAGCTCCAATGGACACGGTCCGATCGTCCCCCAAACTTCACTTGTATATCACCTCTCCATGCCTCAACAGCTCTACGTCAAATATGACATCTAACCATATGCCGTTTCCATGGAAACGCATCCCTCGCTATACAATACTATGTTGTCGTAACGCCAATGACAAGGGTCAAAACAGCACCAGACTTCAGATAATGGTTAACGGTCCAGCCCTCAACAGCTCTACGTCAATTATGGGGTGTTATCATATGCCGTTTCCATGGAAACGCATCCCTCGCCATAAAAGACAATGTCGCTATAACTCCTATCAAAAAGTGCTCAAACTTCACATGTGCCAACAGTCCAGCCGTGAAGACATCTACTGGACAGCAACACAATGCTCACCATGAAACACGGTTTTCTCATAACTTCAGTGAAAATGCTCCAAACGGCCCAAAACTTCACAGGTTTGGTAACGATACAGCAATCAACGCATCTAAGAGTGTTATGGGATGTCATCAAATGCCGTTTGCATGGCGGCAGATCATTCGCCATCAAATTAGTTCAAAAGTTTGCAGTTCAAATATTCTGCTGCTTTTCCGAGCCTTTTTAGTTTATTTTCTTCTCTCATCACACATTCAAGCCCCCTGTGTTCATGTATCATTTCAATCTAAATTCTTCACTTTCTTCTTACACATTACATTTCAGCATAGCAGTTTAGCGTCAGCTTTTCAGCATAAAGCATTCCCACTAGCAATTTCTTCAGGAATTGCATTCTCTAGTTCTCTTCTGTTCAACATATTGGATTGTGTACTGTGTCTAGTCAGGGTCATTTTTATTTGTACGTTACTTTGGAAGAACAAATGTGATGCAATTAATAAGCTTCATTTGAACTGAAGTCACACAAAATGTCATATTTAATATTTAAACAAATGATTTCCTTGTCATTAAAGCATTGACTAGGCTATTCATCGTCCTTAAATGCAGGCATTAAGTTACATGTTCACGTTCTACAGCCATAATAAGTTGGTTTCACAAGTTCAATGAATTCATTTCACGTACAGTACGCCGCTCTTCAATCCAACTTTGATGTTAGCTAGTCTACACATAATTGATCATAACAAATTTAAATTAACCTTTCTCTAACTTACAAAGATGACCTTATTTTACCAACCTCATACAGACCCCTTTTGTTCTACAGTATTATCTCTCTTAATATATACCACTTCTCTATTAGGTTTTAACTTGGATTCTACGATTAGCATCGTTAGCGCATATGGAGTTGATTGGTACATATAATATTAAAAACCACTGCCTGATTCTTTTTTTTATTGATTCAAACACTAATACCATTTCTGAAACTCCTGAGGTTGACCAATTAACAGGGCCGTCCCTGGCCAACTTGGGGCCCCAAGCGACATTATGAGATGAGGCCCCCTGCGCGAGGCCCCCTGCGCAATGTGAGGCCCCATGCAGCCTGCATGATCGGCCTGTAGGGAGGGACGGCCCTGCCAATTAATATAGACACAAACAGAGACAGCAGAGCACTAGAATAATGATGTAAAGTGAAATTAATTCAGCATTTAGCTGGGCTGCTCTGTGAGGACTTTGGGAATAATTTGGTTAATTGGAACCGGTAACAGGAGCTTTAATGTCATGTAATCTCTGTGGCACATGTGCAAACAGATCCCTGCAAAACCATAATCAAATTCATTACTTCTCTTTATAGATATTGATGTTTTTGTTTGGTACAACAAAGGGGAGTCTTCTGTAGAGGAATACCAGTGGAATATATCATTATGTATGGTTACCAATCAGGCCCGGACTGGCCATCGGGAGGACCGGGAGGTTTCCCGATGGCCTGGCCTGCTAAGAGGCCTGCTGGCCTGAGGACTTCTTTTTTTTATGTAAGCCTATGTATTGTGAACGCAACGCTACGTAAATGTGGGTCTGACTCTGCCTCACAGAGTGTGACTGGCTGTCTACATGATGTGGCCTGCCGACATGGCCACTTTCATACAGATCATACTAATGCCCTCGATTGGTCTCTGTGTGTCATTCAAGCTCGGGAGGGTGTGTGTTATGTGTGGCGCGAGCGAGTGAGATAAAGCACGCGCACCAGTTACGTGTATTGTTGTTGTTGTTAGCATCTGGTGCTAGCTAGCTGCGCTAACGGATATAAGGAGCTTTTTCAACAACAAGGTGGAGGAGAGTCCTCTGCTGTCAGACTGAGAGACTGATAACTACAGCTCAGGTGAGGTAAAGGACTCTCTGAGTGTTTAGATAGTTAACTTATGGCGCGTTTCCACTGCAGCGGGGTAGCCCCGTTTAAGCGTCCCTAAGCGTCCTCGCTCTGGCCTCGGGCTGCCTCGCTGGCCGGCCCAGGCCGTGGCGCATTTCCATTACAGTTTAGGACCTGGGGTAGCAACGCAGTGTAGGCGGGGCGATCGGCTTTGTTTTTGTTCACATTTCGAGTTGTTCCGTCGAGCTCCCGCTGGATTTGATCATCCCCAATGAGATGTAGGAACGTCGTCACCTCCTCGGTCGACCACGGTGTGCTTTTCTTATTAGACGTAGCCATTTTGTAGCTCATCCGTTTACAAAATGCTGTTTATAAAAATGCTGCAAGCTTGCTTCTAAATATATATGCGACGCTAGGGATGAACTCGCGCGCAATCTTGTGACGATTCTCTCTGACCAATCAGCAGTCGAGAGTGTTGACATCACTAGTTCAGCCCTGGCCCTGGTCTGAGGGAACCACGATTTTATGGGGCCGGAAAAAGAGGGAGAAAGTACCCGCTAGCCGGTACTAGGCTATATGGAAACGCCACCAAAAATCGGCCTGGCCGCTTGAGGACGGTTAAGGACGCTTAAACGGGGCTACCCGCTGCAGTGGAAACGCGCCATTAGTCAAAGTTATCCCAGTGGGTCTCAAACGGTTTGGTCACCATTTATGTAAACACATATTTCCATTTGAGGGGGGAGTGATTAGTAAAATATGCATGAATAATAAAAAATAAAAACGTTAACTAGGTGAAAAAAGGTAAGATAAACTATTAAAACTTGTTGAGAGCTAAAACTAGTCTTTGCTGCTGCCTCAAATAGGAGCAGGGGGGAGAGGGGGGAGACAGGTGAGGCTGGTTCAGGAGCCCAGACACACTCACAACTATAAATGAACCAAAAACAAATAAATAAACAAGTTTCAATGTTTTTCCATATTGGATATGGGATGTTATTGGTTATGGCCATGTTCTTATGATTTTATGATTATTTAAATGTATACAGTTATGTTTCATATGGGTGTAGTCTCTTTATTTCCCCCTCAAAGTGCACCAGATTGATGCATTTAAGTCCAACATTAAAAAAAATCTTATCGGGGAGCATGCCCCCGGACCCTGCTATAGGGACAGGGACGGGTGGCGCAGTGGTCTGTGCATCCGATCATCAGATCAAGGGGGAGTGCTGGGGAACTCCAGTTCGAAACCCGCTCCTGCCGCCACTGTGTCAGGCCGTTGTGTCCTTGGGCAAGACACTTCACCCGGATTTGCTCCTGTGGGTATTGTCCACAGTACATGTATAATACTAATGTGTATCTGTAAAAGCGCCTCGATGTCTTCGAGGCGTGAAGATGGACGGTGTGGCGCAGTGCGCTGTGCAATGATCATCAGATCAAGGGGTGAAACCCGCCGCTGCTGCGTCTGTAAAGCCGGTGTGTCCTTGGGCAAGACACTTCACCTGAACTTGCTCCTGTGGGTATTGTCCACAGTATCTGACCATTGCATGTATCATATATGTGTAATGTGTGTATATGTAAAGCGCTTTGAGTCATTGATAAAGCGCTATAATAAATGTAAGGAAATATTATTATTATAGGAGTTGAGGTCCACCCCCACTTAAAATATGTTCACTAAATAGATTTGCAATTTTTTTTTAAATAGTAACCCATGTCCATATGTTTATTTTTGGGTAGTAGATTTAGAGGGCTATCACTACGGGCAGCAACGCTGTAAATATTGACAAATAAATCCAGCAAAATGGCACAAAAAACTGGTAGTGGCCTGACTGGGTGTATAATTCCCGGCCTGACTTATTGTCCCAGTCCGGCCCTGTTACCAATGATGTCATATGTCTAATGTTTTTTTTCATTAAAATGTGTAGTGATATGATAATGTTACTTATAAATCACATCAATTATTGGGGGTACTCAAATAGTATATTATTGTTACTAGAATTGCTCATATATAACCACACTATAAAATAAGCTTTACAGTACTGAATCAATCTGAGGAAGACCTAAATGAATATGTTGGAAGATACTGCAGTGTTTTTGACATTTACAGTTATTGCATATTCGTAAGTGTTAATGCTTTCCTCTTAAACTAATGAAGGCATATAGGACGACAGGCTTAATAAAACTGATTTATTGTCAGCTCATGAACACTACATGGACCAGAGCCTGAGAACATATAGGCAATGTCCTATAACACAACATCCTGACTCATCTCTTCCTTTATATCAAAAAACAAGTTAAGTAAGTGACCGGACTGAATATATTTATAGGCAGACACTGAATTTGCTTCCTTAAGCAACTGAAGACCATCTCATTGATTGCTTGCTCAGTGATAGTTCTGCCAAAGGCTTTTCTCGAACAGAAAATAAGATTTAGTATTTTTTTTTTTAAAGTGATTGAACATTTGGATCTTATTCAGTTTACCCTGCAGAGTACAAGTTATAGAAAATATTGGAAATTAAAAAAATAAAACACCACTTAACTGTGGACATTAAAACAGCATAAATACCCATAAATAATTTGTAAATGTAAAGTTCTTTGCAGCTTTTGGACAGAATTCTTAAGCAAAACACAGAGTTACTAATGAAATATGATTTACAAATATAGTTGATGGATTAAATGAGGATTAAGCATATCACAATAACTGCAAATAACCTCATGTATCTCTCTTTTTTATGTTGCAGAATTCAAATGCAACATGTATGACCGGTCACTGTGTCCTGGATCGCGAGCCCTAGATCTTGAATCGTGGCTGTGGTCCTGGATCATAGGTCCTGGATGGATATCCTTGTGGATTCATCTTCCTATTATACACACATGCATTTCCAAACATTTGGACTACCTATGTTGCAAATGTATTATCTTTTCAATTTACACACGGCATCTATTGCATGTCTGTCCGTCCTGGGAGAGGGATCCCTCCTCTGTTGCTCTCCCTGAGGTTTCTCCCATTTTTCCCTTTAAACTGTGGGTTTTCTCTGGAAGTTTTTCCTTGTACGATGTGAGGGTCTAAGGACAGAGGGTGTCATATTGTCATACTGATATTCTGTACACACTGTGAAGACCACTGAGACAAATGCAACATTTGTGATATTGGGCTATATAAATAAACATTGATTGATTGATGACCATATTTTAGGTCCACACAAAGAAAGGAAGAATCTTCAGGTCTACTAAAAAAGATTTTTAACAATAATAGGAATAATACATTATAAAAACAGCAATACAATAATCATATAATTTGCTTGCATTATTGCCCTCAATAAAAATGAGAAGATAATTTCCTTTAAAAGAAAAAAAAGAAGGAAAGAAAAAGAAAAAAGAAGGAAATTCACATTTTAGGAAGGATTCTTGCTCTTTATTTTCTTTCTTGACAAAAGCAAGGCACAAACATTATGGATAAGGATCCCTTAGGTGTTGTGATCAATAGAGAATGGTAACGAGGATGAGCAGGACATGTTATATTTATAAATTCAACTTGTTTTTTGACTTTGTTTTAAAGCATCTCTTTGGCAATGCACTTTCATCCACTTACTTCCACGCTGATATGGATGAATTTGTATTAAGATAAAGCTCTAATGCACATCAATCTTCAGTTGAGAGCTTGTCATTATTAACACCCTTATCAAAATGCATCCTGACAGTGATTATGTAATGGCCCACAGTACCTCTCATAAACCACACACACGCACAAACACTTAATGTGAGCAAAACTATTGCTGCAGGGTGCTGCGGAAGGCAAAGTCCCTCCCCTTGATTTCATGATCCGTTTTTCGCAGACCAGTGAGAGAGTGACTAAGAGAGAGAAGGATGTAGAAGAGTAGTGATGCACTGGTATCCAGTCCTGAGCAAAGCTTGAACAACATGCTGAGGATTAAACATCCAACATCCCTTTAGGAGCACAAGGGCCATTCGTTGTGTAATTTTGGCAAAGAGAAAAGTACACTTCTTTCTCAGAGGGAGCATAATGGGAGTTGTTTTTTTATCTGAAAGAACCCAAAGTGGAGTCAAGAACTTTCATTAGCCAATTCTTTTTTTTTTTCTCTATCTGAGTAAAGGTAAAGGTTTGTAAAGAGCAGAAATGTCTTCTTCTCCTGGTATCAAGCGTCGGGAGCATGTGGACATGATGTACATCTCCATTGAGACAGCTATTGCCCTGGCCTCTGTGGTGGGTAATGTGCTGGTGGTTTTGGCTGTGTGTGTGAACCGGGCTCTCCGCAACACCACCTTCTGCTTCATCGTGTCTCTAGCCGTGGCTGATATTGCAGTAGGAGTTCTGGTCATCCCTCTGGCTATCATCATTAGCCTGGGATTTAACACTCAGTTTTACACCTGCCTCTTCCTGTCCTGCCTGCTGCTGATCATCACCCAGAGCTCTATCCTTTCCCTGCTGGCCATCGCCATCGACCGATATCTGCGAGTCAAGATTCCCACCAGGTGAGGAACTGTTGTATTTTTATCTTTATGGTTATTAAGGAAAGGTAAGTAACATTAATCAATGTCACACAAAACAGCATTTATAGTCCAAGGTAATTTGCAATACATAATAGGCAACTGTGGCTCAGTGGATAGTGTGCTGGACTTCGAATCAGGGGGTAGCAAGTTCGAGTCCCACTGCAGTCAGCATGTCGTTGTGTCCCTGGGCAAGACACTTCTCCCAAATTGCTCCTGTGGGGATTGCCCACAGTACTTTGGATAAAAGCGTCTAACAAATGACATGTAATAATAATACATACAATTCAACAACAAATAAACAATAGGCAGATACATTTCAACACAAAACACATAACTAGAAAACACAAGACTCAAACAAATACAATAAAGCAGCACAAAACTATGCACTTGGTCATTTAGGGCTGAAAATTATTACAGTCAGGATTTAGTTTGAGTTCTGTAAGTAATGAATTTTGCATGTTAATCCTACAAAAACAAAAATCAGTTTGTTAAATGAGGAAGAACACAATTCCTGTTCCACGTGTTACTAAGCCTGAAGCACTGAGGTAACTGAGCACCATGGGATCCTGGTAACTAGCCATTGACAGATTAAACCAAATGTAACAATATCTTGGTGAAATGTAATCTAATCTGCATGCTTTCTAAAGTTTCTTTACCATATAAGAGACTTGGTTTATGTAGATGTTGCTTGTTACAGAACTTTGCACAAGTAAAGATTATCAGACAAAAGAATCCATTTGTTTTTCTCAGGATTTATAGTCAGATTAATAGAAAATAGAGATTAGTTTGGCCTGGTTGTGATGGATGAAGGATATGGTGACGACACAGTTTAGAGCAGTATTACAATATCAAGTACACTCTGTTTACCGTAAACACAATAAAATATTTATAACTGAGACCAAAAGGAAGCGGATGTCTGCATAATCCCTGACTGGATATGATTGTGTATTTGACGTAAGTGCTATTTATTCTCAGACCGAAATTTAATTGATACCACATTATACAGCTTCCCATACAAGTATAATCAAATCAAGTACATCCTTATTTATATAGAAAATGGTCTTATATCGTACCAAAACCAACATGTGGGTGACCATCAGTGAATATAATTACTTTCTCAAACAGGAAAACCCTAATTTTTCTGATCCTCCTTGTTTTTCCCCTTTAACCAACAGATAATGTACAGTATGTGCTTTAAAGAGTCAAGGAGTTGGTCTTCAGTGTCAATGTCTGACATGGCACAATATATATTGTTGTCTGCATCATTGGGGCAAATTGATGGGCCAGACACCAGAAGCTTTTAAGCAAATGAAAATGTTCCTGTCTGCCTAAATAACGTACACAGTTTGGGACTTTGGCAGTTGCCCATACTTTTTGTTTATCAGTCGAATCAAGATGTCAGAAGCTGGCACTTGAGAAAAATGCTTCTGAACAATAATGTATAGACTGGCATTTGTTCAAAGAACCGGTAGCACAGTGTGCATTAAAGTGATTAAAAACTCCATTTGTTTTCCTTCTCAGGTACACCACCATAGTGACGCAGAGGAGGGCATGTGTGGCAGTCTGTCTGTGTTGGATCCTCTCCTTCCTCACTGGATTGGTTCCAATGCTTGGATGGAATAACCTCGATAATCTCGAAGGGAACCTCACCAGTTCCAGCGAAATAGTTTGTGAATTCACCGCTGTCATGAGGATGGACTACATGGTGTACTTCAATTTCTTTGGCTGGGTTGTGGTTCCTCTGTCCATAATGATCGCTCTGTATGCGGAGATCTTTAGGGTGATCCGGCGACAGCTCAACCGGCGCGCTGAAGCCACGTGTGATGCAGAGAGGTACTTTCGGAAGGAGCTGAAACTGGCCAAATCTCTGGCCTTGGTGGTGTTCCTCTTCGCTGTGTGTTGGCTGCCAATACACATCATGAACTGCATTGACTTCTTCTGCCCTGAGTGTAGCATACCCAAGTTTGCCATGTATGTGGGCATTTTCATGTCCCATGTGAACTCAGCACTCAACCCAATGGTTTATGCGTTCAGGATAAAGGTGTTCCGTCTCACGCTGATCAAGATCACTCGCCACTGCATGTTATGTAAACCCTCAGAGCCCACCCCGTGCCCCACCAGCACACCTACCCTGACTGAGAAGGTGGATGTAAAAATTTAACAAAGAACAAGGGATGTGCAAAATGAACAAACACATCTTGTTGAAGTAATTTGGCCGGCCTGTACCAGGTAACAGTGGTCATGAGTCCCAGAGTTTTCCCAACTGCTGCTCACTCATGCGGGCTGTCGGATAATGGTGCAGTCGCTCATGTCTAAACTGATGATAACTCAATGCATTGAAGAGAAGTCTTATGGGACGGTCAGCACTAGCTGTCAAATGTGCATGTGTTATTGAAAAACTTTCGCCATATTATGCAAAAAAAGTCAAACTTGAAAGATTTGATACATTGACATGTATCAACTTAATGGAACCGATAATGTGAAAAGGGTCAACCCATCGCTACAAAGAACTACAGCCCTCCTTTGTAGATGGCAGTAAGATGGTGCCCCGATGGCACTCATGAGATAATTGATATTTGGAATGTTGAGTCGTGGGACAAGTTCATATCTGGCCCATTTGTATCTCTTTGACACAAAAGATTTTAAGAAAAGTAAGCCTCATCAAGTTGCATTATTTTGTTTTTATTTAAGGCCTCCTTATTTGATTCATATTGAATTGTACTATATTGTCAACAGGATAAGTGATGCAAACACACATTTCTTTCTAAATTCACCAGAATAAACAAGCATGCCATTTTCATTTATAATACTAATGTTACTGTTCTTATTTCGCATGTACAACTATTTAAATGTTATATGTAAATTGTTTAAATATTTTAAACAAGAGTCTGCAGCAACGTTGGGGCTGTATTTGAGCAAAATGGTTATTTGAGGTAAATACTAACTCAATGATCAATTCTAGCATCTAGAATGCTAATTATCCATAAAGCTACAAAACCAAATGGAGCAATTTAATAGTATAGTATAATAGTAACATGTAATCAATCCAGCCATTACTCTTTGTCACAGGATGCATCTCTTCAGCTAATTCAGTTAGTTTGAGCCATTTTTCAATAGTCGTGGCAAGGTGTTGAAAAGGCTCTGAAGTATTTGAGCAAATTACCAAGAGAGCTTTATGCTGTGGTGATTTATTCCAACTGTAAAGCTAAAGCTTCAGCTAAAGCTGCACCAGTTCTGCTTTGTCATCAGTTTGACTTCCCCCTGGATCCCTTCCGTGCCACACTGAACAGAACCTAAAGCATAAGAAAAAAATGTCTAAACTTGTTTAGAATATGCAAGTTTAAGTTTTTGATTCGATATGTGCATTTGATGTGCCTATTGCATGTTATTGTTTTGACCAATTTTTGTGTTAATTCACTACTCTGGTATGCTTGGTCCATTTGTAAATGACACTTTCCTTGTAAACCCTCACTCTCTATCTGTCTGTCTCAGTGTGTCCCTCACAAACATATCAATACGTTTTTTACCATCTGTCACCTTCATCCTCGATGAGGGATTTAAAACTGCTGAGTGTGTTCTAATCCCCAGCCCTCTTCTTAGTGAGGGAGGTGCTGCATCACCAGCCTGGCATTAACCATCTTAGCACCACACACTCCTGTGGCCCTGCAAGGTGCTGAAGGGGCATGAGCATGGTCTAACTTACTGTGAAGACAAAAAGCCAAGAGGTTCAATTTTGTGTGCGCATCTTATTTTGCTCCTAAACTAATCATCTTTGAGGTAAGACCATTCACATTCATCTTAAAACCAAAAAAAAAACAGTACTTGGGTATGCTAAATGTATTTCCTTAAACTTTATCATATCAATTTTCTCAGACAACTAAAGAAAACTTGAATATTCCAGCACGAAAACCACATTAAAATGGCTGATGCTGATGCAGCAGACGGTGCCCAGGACCCTGAGGCTCCGGTGGAAGAGCTGGATACCGAACATGAAGCTTTGCTACACTTTGGTAAATACTCTGAAGCTCAGCACTCCATACCTTGGGAGCAGAAGACCTTTAGACAAAAGGCAAACTTTCATATGGACCGCATCTTCCTCGGATTCTTGGTCATTTTTTTCCTTGTGTTTCTGGGAGAGTTTGTCTATAAAATGTGGTATGTGACAAATGTGAAAGCGATTGCAGAGTTTGTGTCAGATTGCTTGGTCTTTCTGTTCAACTGGCTCTTTACCCAGACAAGACAGGAGGAGTTGTTTGAATTGTAGGTTGTGAAAAGAGGATAACCAATTATATGTATTATCTTATGTGTGTTTTCTAAATAACAAATGGCCAGTAAAGAGTTATAGCTAACCGTCCTAACCAGAGATACAGCAATGTAACGATTTCTGGACTATGTTTTTTGATGGATCTACGGAAATAAATAATGTATGCAAATAACCAGATCCTTGTTCTGTCATATACTGTTCTGCTTTTGTTGATCAAGTTAGGATTCTGTTCTGGCTAAAGCCATTGCAACATGCAATATAAATGCATCTTTTATTGTACTCTTTAAATATTTGTTTTCATTGTAAATTAAGTATCAGAGTAGATAATTTACTTAACTTGTTGTGTATTACCTCCCCAACTATTCAATAATATCCATTTATACCAACCACAACATTATCATGCTACATATAAATACATTAGTAGGCCTAATAATAATCTAAAAATATAATAAAACACTCTGAAAGAAGAAAAATAAACTGTGTTGATGCATTATGGGTTATTTTAAAATAGGTTACATTTTACCGGGAATATACTTCGGCATTACGCAAAACTGATAATACAGGATTGTTATACACAAGAAAAACAATTAAGCCACAAAGAATAAACAAAGGTTTGGGACATAGAAAAATCGAGAAGAAACAGAAAATCATACAAACTACATATACTCCAACATACTTCCAGTGGTGGACTGTACATCTACGCATCTACGCATGTACTAGTACTTAAGCATTTCAGGTAAACTACTTTACTCAACTTAATTGTTTTATTTTCATGCATCTTACTTTTACTATTTTAGTATATTTAAGAGGAAACTGTTGCACTTATTATTAGTGAATCACCTGAATACTTTCTGAACTACTGGACACTTGGTAGTATTCTGTTTTCATATAGCTTACTGTATTTAATGGAGATGATCTTAAAGCATTACTTATATAACATAATAAAAGCACTGAATCATGATAATGTTTAACATCACTTTAATAAGCCATTATTTAATATAGGGATATAAAGTGTTAACATTTTGTTGATGAAATACTAACATAGCGTAGGCCGTAGGCTACAGTAGTGTGCATTCACTTGTGTATTCTAATCATGGATTCTAATAATGACTCCGTCACTCCAGCGGACCAATCAAATCAACGCATTTTCACTCCTCTCAAATCCCGGCCCTTCCTCTTCCCCTCTTCTGGATTCTCTAGCGTGACCGACGTTTCGTGTCTGTTAAGACTTAAAGTAAGTCAACATGTGAATAACTTAAACAGTAAATGTCGATTAGATACTGTATATTATTTCTAATGGTATATGTATTCGACTATTGCTTTTTGTTTCTGAAAGATGTGGCGCAGTAGATAAATATTGTTGTCAAAAATGGAGGACAGTGAGAGACGCTGGTCCGCCATGCTGTCCCTATTAGCTTTAACTTAAATACATCACCGCCAAACATGGTGACACTTCTGAAGAAGAAAGGACAGCTCAAATGTGTAAAATGCTATCTTACCACTGGCCTGTGATTCTTGATTTGCTGTGACTGTGTGTTGGAGGTCTAAGCATCGTTTCAATGTTAGCTAAAGCTTATAGCTAAGCTAACGTCAAACTGGGCTCCTCCCAAACATATTCATCAGAGAGATAAATAACGTTCCGCATTCAGAAAATGTATATTATTCTGGAGGAACAACTCATATTATATTCCCGAGTAATGTGTTCTTAAGGTTTTACTCAAGGTACGTACACCACAACGTCGCAATAGTTAGTTAAAAATAACCCTGCTGCGTGGAAAGCATGAATATCAGCTTCCTAGTAGTGATTACAAGCAATGCTGCAACAGTGGGCTTTATCAGTAATAACATCCCTGCAAAATACACGTGGGCCCTTTTTCATACTAGTTCAGTTATTATTAAGCACATGATTATGGCCGCTGGTCGTATATTAGACCACAATAAGAGAAGATACTATTAATATTCGATTATATTTGTCAACAGAGTATAACAAATCGTTTATGTATATCATTGCTTTAATTATCTTCACACAATGATTTTAAAATGTCAAATATTTGTTTCAAATTTCACATCACAAATAACTAGGGTCCATGTTGACATATTTACAATCCTTTTTTTGATCCAATCAAATGTCTAACTCAAAGATAATTTGAGACGGGAACAAATAGGAAATAAGGATTGAGACACCAAAGTTGTATACCTTGAAAGTGTGCATATAAATTGTCAACCCATCATCTTATAATAACTTTTCTTTCAATATAGAATGCGTTACGTGGCCGCTTACCTCCTGGCTGTGCTCGGTGGAAACACCAGCCCCTCTGCAAAGGACATCAAGGCCATCTTGGGCAGCGTAGGAATCGAGGCCGATGACGACCGTTTAAACAAAGTATGCCATTTAACAACTTTACATTATGCAATCTTAAAACTGTTGAGCTTTATTTTCCTGAATATGCTCTGTGGCTAAAGTTGAGTCTTATTTTTCTCTGCAGGTCATCAGCGAGTTGAATGGAAAAGACATCAACGAAGTCATGAACTCAGGTCAGCCCTTCTAGAAAACATGCATTGAAGATGTTAAGATGTTTTTAAAGGAAGACGGCTAACATTTGTTTCTACCTTTTTTCCACAGGCCTCTCTAAGTTAACCTCCGTACCAGCAGGTGGTGCTGTGGCGGCTCCTGCCGCCGCTGCTGCTGCTGCTGTTGGGGCTGGGGCTGCACCTGCTGCTGGTGTGTATACTACTCAATATTAACTTTAATTTATAAATAGATGTTTTCAGTTTCTGTAGAATTGTTTTAAATTGTATTTTCATATCAAATAATTAACTGCCCTTGCAAATGAATCAAATTGTGATGGCATCTAGAAATCCTAAAGTTGATTATTGAACAAAAGTGCTGTTAAATATTGTAATTGACATTTGTCTGTAGTAGTGATTGTTGTCTTATTTCTCGATTCCAGCGGAAGAGAAAAAGGAGGAGAAGAAAGAGGAATCGGAAGAGTCAGATGAAGACATGGGCTTCGGACTCTTCGATTAATCTGCATTCTCTCTCTAAAAAGCAATAAAAAAGTAAAAGGTTTACACTCAACATATTGTCTTTCTGTCATTTTCAATTACTTTAAAGTGACTTTCACCAACTGTGCAATCGTTATTATTCCCAAATAATTACCATTAGGAGTTGGAAATAAAATGCCTGGCTTTAAAGGCTTGAAGTTATTTTTGTTGTCGGCTAAAAATAGTCCAGACTGAGCAACCTGCCATCATTAAGCAACCCAGAGTCTGCATGTGGTCGGTCTGCTCCGTCCTGCTGCTGGACAGAAAGCTGAAGCCACATAATGACTGCAGCTTAAAGGGATAAACCATGATCCAACTGACCACCACGATACAAAACACCTGCCGCTTTACACTTATTTGACACTTTGGCTGTTATCTTTTGTATTAAAAAAACGCATGTAATTGCTAAGTTCTTTATAGGTGTTATTGTTGAACATCAGCTAAACACGCCTTTAACTAATGGTAAGATAAGAGCTCCATTTACAGTAATAGGTAACACAATTATGTTCTCTAACTCACATTTTATGGTGAGACGGTTCAACTTTCTTTGCTTTAATAGATGTCTGTCACTGCCTTTTATCTGGTAACATTAGTAATGGCTGCAGTCCAGAAGCAGGAGCCGTGTATTGCTAAAGGGAAGCAACATGGCAGAAATAATGTTCCCCTCCTTGCTGTGACGAGCCAACAGTCTGCTGGGAAAAACATCTATGACACAGTATTTGTGTTGATCTGACAGCCTGACATGTGAGTCATCAGTCATATCACAATTCATCTTTTGTTATTTAATACAAACTACATTTCGATTGAACTACTTATTTCGTCACTGAACTTCGCACTACTCTTAAGCAATCCTGGGAGGAAATGAGACCATAGATTTGTCCACAACCTGCTTCATGGCATCTTTTTTTTTTGTGTGTTACATAAGCAGCGTCAAAGATTTAACTGGGCAAAGGGTCAACATGCACCAAGAAGTCTCTGAATCCCCCTGCACAAAATAGAAACATAAATATTTATATTATATCCAGTTTAATTTATGCACTAATTAGTATTAAAGTTTCTCCAATATGTTGTAAATGTAAACTTTTCTAACCTTTTTTTCCTCACACTACCGAACAGTCACCTGAATTAATGAACAAAGTAACTTGAATCATCTTTAAAAAATAGAAAAACTCCTGAGTGTAAAGAAGAAACATGAATGTTTTATGTTAGGGGTTAGAGTTAGCTTAGATTTCACACGGCAGTCAATGAAAAAAGTGTCCATCTTTTTCTACATTTGCTCTACCACCCTATTTTCCACTGATGCATGCCAGTTTGCAGGATGCACATTATATGTGGCAGGATCTTAATAAAGCAGTCTTTAGTTGTGTTGCTAAGGCTTCCTGCCTGCAGGTAAACCCGCTCCAAAGGTGAGAGGCATCACTGCGTGCCTTAAGCACAGAGCTGACAGCCTTTCACATCTCATAATTACCCGATGGCTGGGAATGTAGCTGTCAACAATTATAATACTGAAGAACAAAATCTATCAATGTGTAGCTGCTCCACCCTAACTGTGCTTACAGTTACAGCATTTACGGGCAGGAATGCACTTCCACACAAAAACTTCCCTGCTGCAAGCTGTGGACTCTGCAGTTCAGAAAGTAGGCAGTAAAGTATGTACTAGAGAGGTGTGGCAGAAGTATTGTTCATTCCTACATCTTGACACGATAGCCTGCCTTATATAATAGGGCAGTGCTTATTGATCTTTTTAACTTGTGAACCCAAAACAAATATTGCCTGCTTGCTTCATTCACTGAAAAGAGTTGGATTGATTATCTTTTAATTGTTTTGTTGGCATAATTCATCCTGCGACCCTGTGCCAGTGGCCCTAGGGAATCACTACCATTACTTACAGTGTTAAAAAATATCTTGTTGTTCACTAGTATGTTATCTTTTTTTTCTTTTATAAATCCAATAGATTTGACCTTTGAAGAAAAGTGCCATGAGCAAGGCGTGTTTAAGAAAGCCTTATTCATTGCACAGTTCAAGATAACCAAGTTATATTTCCAACTAGTGAATCATGACAGTGACTTATGGTTTGATAATAACAAACAAACAAACATGTAAGCATTTCATTAAATATGTTTTTAATTTGAGTAGGTTATATGAATGCCAGCATTCATATTTGCAAACATTGTATAAATTATGTAAATGTCACATTTCAGTGTAGTTGTAGATAAAGCTCAATTAAAAATTCTACAAAAATATTGCACAGTGTCTAGCTTACAACAGTTATTACATTGCTCATAATTACACATTAATGTACAGAAAGTATACAACTCAATGGTGGACTTGTAAAAAAGAGCATCACATTTGAGTGTTTTTGTAGAATGAGCCATTTGGGATTCTAAAACATTGCTACATGTTCTAGGAGTCCGTACGTTTTAAGTTATTTTTCCTTTCAATTTTAAAAGTGCACATTGCTCTTTCCCAAGCCATTCAACTGGTTTTTCACATAACATCCTGGCACAGCAGAAGAACATGTGTTTTTTTCTCACAAAGCAGACCATTCCCACAAACTATGTGTGGTTTGAAAGCTTAAAATGTCTTTTAGGTAGCCCATTGTGTTCTTAAAAGGGGAAATTCAACTTGCGACATCATCTTTCACCACATCTGTGGCACTGAGAGAAGTTGAACGCTTCCCTTGCAGCAATGTTTCTCAGTCATCATAGTCCGACACTGGATGATCCGAACATGCCTGAAAAACAACAAGGAAGAGTTTTTAAACACCTTTTGGCAGTCAGATTCCTTTTTCGTGACTGAATCACTGTGAGGTTTAAAGGTAGCAAAAATAGACCACCAAAGCTGTCTATCTGTGCCGTTCTGTGTTTTCTATTTGATCTCTTTTCAACAGGTGGGATTCTTACCTGTTGGTATTCGAATCGGTCCTGAAGGTAACGGTTCCCCAGACCGGTGATGTGACCTATATTTTGTTTGGAGAGCCCGACTATCCTGGCTGTAAAGTCGAGTGTGAAGGCCAACTTAACAAGCTCAGGTGCTGTGGGGAGGACGGTGGGAGGATTGTGGGTCGGCAACGCCTCCGTCTCCAGATACGCATCAGCCAACTTCTGGAAGGAAGAGTACGACATCCCCTGGAAGAAGCTGCTCAGGGTGGGGTTGTCTTTCAGCTGGAGATAAGGAGAGGAAGACTGTCAGTGACTCAAGAACACTTTGACCTGTAAGGGAGTTTACTGCTAGTAAAATAGCCTTTCTTTAGTTGTAATATTCCTGCAGGTTCCCAGCTAAAGTTAGTAATACTTTCAACTGAAGTCATAGGACATTTGCTGTAATTTTCAAGCAAGGTTTAACAATAAGACATTTAACACTTCCACTTAATCTGCTGATTATTTTCTTTAAAATGTACAGAGAGTGAACCAACACTGACAAAACCAAGACCGGTTTTGGCAAGACTTGATTTTGAATTGCTTTATTTCATCAGATCAGAAAATGAAAAGCTATTGCACCAGAAAATGTTACTCACTACATAACATAGAATGATGAAGTACGAATGTATAACAGGTTGTTGATTCAACATCAGGCTATGTGGTGGAGTTTGTACTTCTTATCATTGAGAATTATTTATAGCAGCGATCATGGTTTATTGATGTGCTTTTGCTTTCTGTTGAAACTGCTCGATCACCATCGTTATTCTTTAATAATTAACAGATTATATAATCTTATGAAGAACCAAAGAGTGAAGCATTAAGAGTATCGGTCATGTCAATATTTCCAAATGATCAAACGCCAAACAAAGTTTCATCTAGCTTGTTTTTTACTCAAAGCAGCAATACATACCAACCTTGTCATCTATGGCATCACCCTCCTCTTTTGTCAATGCAATGATCCTGTTGATTACTTCCTCTGAGAGAAAACAAAGCTGATTATACCTCCCGCTTGCAAGTATAATCAATATACTTAATATAATAATGTATGGCATTATAGTGATTATAGTAATGCAGAACTAAAATGCTAAGCCAAGACAAATGACAGGATGGAGAAGTTTTGTAACTCCACGAAGACAAAGCAACTTTTCATATTCAACCCATTACATTTATCAGAGAAATTGTGTTGTGAGTTGAACTGACTTGTTTTGTTTGAACACTACATTTTCTGTCAAATTCAAAATGCTCTTTTAAAGCATTTGTATACTGCCAGGCACAGCTAAAGGAAAGTGAAGAGAAACAGTTTCTCACCATCAGACAGAGGTTTAACTTCCTCTTTTTCTTGGACCTCGTGGATAATTTTTTCAAATTCCTCTGACACCTTCTCGTAGTAATGTGGTGTTGGTTCCACGCTGACAAAAGCTGTAAAAACAATACATTATTTGTTCATTTACATCTGATATTTCCACTTATTCTGGTCGAATTTTTTTGAACATTGAATCATATATTTTGTTACATTTTATAGAGCTTACATTCAACTCGAGTGATGTCAGCAGAGTTGAGTTGAACAATTCTATTTGATTTATTCAGAGATATCCGCCTTTTGGAGAACCTTCTCTTTAACGATTTCCTCCTCATGGACTTTCTTTTTGGTGAACTGACTGGAGTAGTTGGCTGGCTGGGGGTCACAGTGTCAGAGGCCTCTGGTATTTCTGGTGGACTGTCCTCTTCATCGTTATCCTCACTATTCTTTCGAGAGAATAAACCAAGGAAGCTTTTCCAGAATGATGGCTTCTTGTTCTTCTTAGACTTTTTGGTGGGTTTCTCGATTTCCCTCTGAGGTTTCTCGGGCTCAACTACGAGGGTTTCAGCTGGATAAAATTTACCAATTTCCCCATCGTCTTTTAATCCATCGACCAGGTAAGAGGAAGGGTCGCTGGAGCGTCGTCTAAGCTTCCTTGGCATTGTCACCCACTTTTCTTTCCTCTCAGCCCTCCTGTGCCCCAGTGTCCCGTCATTTAAGCTGAGGCTGCGCTGGACGTATGTCTCCAGCAGGCGGATTGTATCCTTGTGAGGCACATAGATCAACTGGCCGTTATGAGGCCTTTGTTTTTCTGTTTGTGTTTCCATGGTGGAAAGACTACAGGTGAAATAAACAACATACAATAGGTTAAGATGGGTTTGCAATGAACTTTCTGCCAATTCAAGTCACAAATCACGTGTGATCTAAGCAGCATTTTGGAAAAAAGCCTAAGAGCTAATATGACAGGTTGATTAATCGATTAATCAATTGACCAAAAAAGTCAGTATTCAGACAAAAAGCCAAACAATGCGATGTCCCAAGCTCTCAATTGTGAGGATTTTCGGATTTTCTGTAATTACTGTCTTATGTGATAATTAAAGTGAACATCTTTGGGTTTCCATCGGACAATACAAGATATTTCAAGACGTCAATCTGGGCATTTTTCCAAAAAAAATGAAGGATGAACAATTAATCAAAATTTACATCAAATAAATTGATAAGGAAAGTTGTCCTTATTTGCAGCCGTAGAGGTTGAAACAAAGAACTGTTTAATTTTGAATCAACAATACATTTAAAATGTAATCATTCGGTCTTAAAAAATGTAAGTAAATGTAGCTACACTTCTCTGAAACCAATGTTGACTTGTTGACAGCTTGTTTGTCTGAGCAACAGGCAAAAACCGAAAGCTACTCAGTTTATTATCACAGGACAGTTTCGGAATCAGGAAGCGAGAACTACTTTTTGCTTAAAAAACAACGTAAGCAATTTATCAATAAAACAGTTAATCAAGCTACATAGAGAAATACTTATTTCACATTATATACTTCTTTAGAATGTTACCAGAAATAGCCCTGCATTAACCTATGTATTGTATTACAGTGCTACTCTTTGGATGTCATAGCTGCAGACATGTAAAAACGTTTTTCACAGCTCTTAAATGAGAGAAATAGGAAGTAAGTAGTGCAGTAGTCTTTGAGTGTCAGTGGACTCACCTCATCTCCTACAGCAACAGAGCAACAGTGTGACTCCCTGCAGAGATCTGTGTAAGTACTCAGCAGGTACACAGTGTGAAGTTGTGTCTCATGAAGGGACTGTGCGCAAAGCGTTTACCTGCTCGCATTCTCCACCCATGTTTGGACACGTCCCTGCCTCCTTACCTTACCTGGAGCCGCATGACGTCACATTCACTAAATGACAGTGGGCGTGGGACGAGGAAAAAATACTTCCTGGTGTGCAGGTGAGCGCACAGACGTCAGGTTTCATTCAACTCTTGTTGTTTACAGTGTCACCGCTTCTACTGTAAATGCCCCCTCCCCGCTGGCTGGGCCACGTTTTACAGGAAGAGCGTGCTGCGGAGCTCATTTCCTTTAAGAGACCGGCTTTAGAAGAAACACCCCCATGTATCTTTATCATAGACTGTATATATAAAGGTCTTTATGCTGTTTCCTGAAAACACTTAGAAATGAAATATGTAACATGAGTGAGCCTAACAAACTGCATCCCACGTACATTATGTTCAATGGGAATGTAAATAAATATGTATTTACCCAAGTATAGCCTATACTGTACTGAAGTAAAATGTTGAGTTATTTTACTTTGAGTATTTATATTTCCTGCTCCTTTACACTTTTAGTCCATTAGATTTTGTAATCCAATATTTTACCCTTTACTCCACTACATGTATATCACAGCTTTAACAGCTTCAGATTATTAGCTAAGGCAAAACAATAACAACAACTAGTAAATAAATGATGAAATTGTAGGTTATAAGATATCCAGCAGCAATATACAAAGTAAATATATATTAAACTCCACATTTACCGGCTGTGATGAACACATTAATGCATCAATAGTCATAATCCAGTCATTCAATACGATTCTGAAATGGGCTTTTACGCACGATAAACATTCATCAATTTTAATGGAATACTGATTTGCAGTATCGGTACATCATTCAACATAATAACACAGAAGCAATACGTCTGCATATGGCAGAGAACAACAGTAAACAGCAGACATTATAGGTAGAATAGTCTTCCATTAAATATACAGTTGAATTAAACAAGAGGGATTGTCTGAGGTTATAGTTCTTATGTATACAGAATAAGATGAATTATTACATTTTACTTGAGCAATTAACCTTTTTTATATATATTTTGTGTTAGCTGTATTGACAACTGGTTTATTGTTGTACATTTTTTTAATATGTTTGTCTATATTTGACTTATTTGTAAATCTTCAAAACACACAATCCAAGGAATAAGATGTGACAGGCAATTGTATTGAATACACTTAATACGATCATTTTGTTTTTCTAATTCCAATTTATGGTCAACTTAGTGTCTTTAGTTTGTATTTCTTATACATTTGATATATTTCTATCAATAAAGGTATTTAAAACATTGTAAATACCTAATATTTGAATACCTTAAGATAACATTGCCTGCTTAACTAGGTTTATGTATGGGATATATTATACAAGTAGACTATGTTATAATTTAGCAATTATTTAAAATATGATAAATAATTTTTCATGTTGAATCGTTTGGTGTAAAAAATGTATCCAAAACGTAAGGTTTGATTTGGCTATCCACATAGCTGCTGATTCATTTGTTACTTTTGAAGGAAAGGCAGTGTTGAAAACATATTTCTATGGTTATAACGATGATCTAAAATACATTTTCACAAACAATGTGGTTAGTCATTCACAACGAGCAACACGCTTCCAGTTAAAGGACCAAGTTATTATGACTTCACCTAAAGGGACTTTTTGTACTTTTTGTAATGCCTACATTTTCCTCCAATGTGTAAATATACATGAACTAAGATTGGCCTGATACAACTGTACAATGTAAAGCTGTAGTGAATGTGAGCAAAGTTAAACTATTTTGCATAGGAGGAAACACAGCTTCTCCTCTTGTTTATTTCCCTACTGAGCAACTGTTTTTATGACTAGTCACTAGTACATCTGATTTCATGAGTTATCTCTTATCTGACTGGTGTACTGGAAACACAAGACGCTTTCAGTTACATCACAGCTTTAATGTCGAGCTTGTTATTGTGTAACTGGGTATAGAGTTTACACATCATCTTATTTTTGTTTGTCCTGCATTTTCCAAAGAGGACAGAACACTTTTATCAAAATGAGTGTGTCCTTGTGATACAAATTGGCCTAAATATCTCTATTTTATGCTCTTGTGGAAAGTTAGAAATACTCCTACATATACAAATATGGCTTTCCACACTTATCCTAATATTTAAGCAGCGAAGTGAGAATTAATCCAGGACCTGTATTATATATTAAAAAGGAGAATGGTAGATATAAAGGAAAATATGTATTTAAAACAAGCCAACACACTTACACAAAAGCAAACAAATCAGTAAATACCTTCCAAGATCTTGCTTTAGTGTAGTACCACAGAAAAACCACAAGGTGTCAAGCTAAACACTTCGAAAAAAGATACCTGCTAACATGCAGCCTAACCCTGTTCAGTACAAATAAAAATACAATGTACCCATACTTATACTTTACTATTTTTACTACTAAATATTTTAGGTTCTACTCCAATACATTTAGCACTTTGTTGAAATGTAAAAGTGTTAAATAATCTCCGTGCTGACCAGCTACAAAGTAAAACGGTCATTTATTACTCACATATTGATGCATAAATTATACTATAATACAATAATGCTCATGCACTTTAACGCCTGACTTATTTTTATTTTTTGTCACAAATCTGGCATCAATAAACTGTTCAAACTAAATATGTTTGGGGATATGATTTAAATATTTGTAGCGGCCAAAATCATATATAAATGAAACTGATAATTAACTTAAAAAAACTCTGCCGCTCAGTTAAATATAATACTTCCCATTTTCAAAGCAGACCTAACCTTAACCCTAGCTCTAACTGTAACATGAAATGAGGTATTTCTAAGTTGCAGTATTTGTATTTTTACTTGGGTGAGCTGATTACTTTCTCATCACGCTCTCCCAGTCAATTTTTAGATATTGAAACAAATGTTAAGAAAATGGTTAGTTTGTGAAGCGACCAATACACAATACCAATAACAATCATGTTATTAACTAAACAATGAAATTTAAATACAGGACTTTATTCTGGAAGCTATGCCTTTGGTTGTAATCAGAAGTTTTTCTCATTATCAGAATAAATAAGGTATTTTTTCTATGTTGTGTTCCAGGTTCATCTTTGGTATGCACTACAGCTGGATCACTCCTGTTCTTTGTTTATTGTCTCTCTAAATAGTTATTTACATTTGTTCCTTTCCCAGAAGTGAAGAGCAGCCTGCGGGCACCTGAAGGCAACACTGTTCCCAGCTAATCTCAGGTGACCCTCTTCATTTTTCACGAGTGTTAAGCAGGGCAAATGAAGGACTCACATTTCGGCCCACAAACTCTGTCCGCTGACCTCCAGGGCTGACGCACTGCAGCTGAGTGGGCGCTGTCATAAATCTTTATCGCTTTGAATCATTACTCGCCCTCTCTGTCCTGGGACTCCCCTCTCTAATCTTAAAGTGATAGATGGTTCATCCAGGCAGAGCAAAACTGAGCAAAAAAGCATTATAGTACTCCAGTAATGTATAAAATGAAATTATGAACTACCTGTGTATAGATATACCCTAAATGCTTTATTGATTTAGGATGACATTAATTATAATGGTGTATTTGATATATGGAGAGCTGGTCATCAGAAGCGTTACCTCAAGCCACTCTGAATTATTAAAGTAGACCAAAATGTCATTTGAATAATTTAAGTTTAAGCCCTTCTACCATGAAGTCTCGATAAGATCACAGCAGTTTCTTGTTATATCAGTAAAAGGAGAGCGTAAGAGAGAATACATTATTGTGAGCGACATATTCTGTGACAACTTCAGAAATACTAGTATCTCGCCCACAAAGGCTAAAATGAACAAATGGAAGTTAATATACAACTTTAAATGAGGAGATAATGCAACAGATATCATGAAAGGGCTTTGAAGTACAGTAGCTCTAACTGGGCACTGTAGTTTTAAATAGAAGTTTGGAGAACTAAAGTTAACGTCGTATTGTGTTGGAGACTATATTGTTTGACAGCATCAGGTTTGTGTGTCGAAATCAAACTACAGTAGTTGAGTAACTATAGAACATTAAAGCCTACTGGGCCACATTTTTCTACAATGGAGCACAGAGAAATAAGGTAGATACCCTGGTTCTCATAGTAACAACTTTACACTATTAAATCGTTTTCTTACTGTTAATGCAGGCAGGCAAACATAAACCCTGCCTGAGTATTTTTTATGATAGTTCATAATATCATAATTTGTATCCTTTCAAGCAAGCGTCAATGGGGTCACCGTTTAGACATTATGTTGCATTTTAAACTGGTCATACATTAACAATGGCCTAAAGTGCCATGTACAGTATAAACATATACCTTTTGATGGCGCACTCAATAAGAAACTATAAAGAATTATAATTCTTAGCCACAACTTTGCCATGATGAATAGTTGTGACACAGTGCTTTAGCATAGGTTACAGTCACAGGATTGATTACATGCTTTGTTTTCGTCACATATAGGCCCATTTATCTTTTACATATATAAGAAAGATAAACCCTAACCTTTCAAAACATTATCAAACAATCATGTGGGGGGCCCTATAGTAACCCTTGGGGTCACAGAACTCCTTTTGAAGACCCATGCATTAAAGTAATAGCAGAGGAAGAAATGCCCATTTATTGTTTAACTATTATCGAGATAATATTATATGACATATTCAAGTTGAGTCATGTGTCAAAGTGATATCTCAGACAGCAATAAACGGGAGGACGTGCAGGATGCCTTAATGATATCAGGGATTTCCAGCATAGGGGAAGCAAATAAATTAAAAAATTAAAAAACTGGATTACTTCCAGAACATGAGTGTTTTATCACACTGTTTTAGGATGGCTGATCTCCCATCACCCACGTATGAAGCAGGTTGGGTCCACCTGTCTGTCCTCCATCCGCTCCAGTGCTGAGAGAGCAGATGGAGCCTCACAAGCTTAGTTCACCCCAAGCCAAAAATGTGCTGCCCATTTGCCTTAATGCAGCCTTCCCCTTTTGGTGAAAACCACGTCTGATTTCCTGTTCAATCATATTAGCCCTGGCGTCAATAAAGAAGCTACACAAGTAATGCAAAACCCATGTCTGAATATTCTTGGTCAGCAAAGTCAGAGCAGAGAATCAATGGCTCAAGTAATACAGTAGGTGCTGAACTCTGATCAATATTTAACCCATGAGGATTGCTTTGTCACTCAATATTACACCTGCTGCGCTACAAAGCAGAACTGCATTCACACTTTGATCAAAAATATAATGGCAAGGTCACAACAGCAGTGCTGCAGCCTGATGCCACCATGTGCTCTGTCCTGCGTGCAGGAGAGTTAGCGTCAGTGGAAGAAACAGGAGACCTTGGACGGATTTAAAATAAACACAAGCCGCCCAGCTCCAACTTTGACTTTGCCCTCTGGAGGGAGGGAACGTACAGCCTGCTGTCTATGCAGGCCTGAAATTGACTTATAAAGTGTCTGCTGACAAAACAGAAACCTAATCTACTGATATGAGACTCACAGTCTGAGCTTTCGTGTGAGATCCATCCTTTGTTTCCTTTCAGGGAAAGGGGCACAGCTTGTCAAAGAGTGAAGGGAAGAACAGAGTCATGCAACAATAATATATTTTTAGATCCATTAAGGGTTGCAGTACAGTCTGCTGTGTCACAGTGATTGGACACTCTGCCGGTCTTTGAATAGATTTCTTTGGGTAAATCTTTATCTAAGGCAGGATGGATGTGATCTCCTTGTGGAACACCCGATGAATTATAAATGGCAGCATCACATTAGCTTTGACCTTGAGCCACCTGTCTGTTAAATGCTAAAAAGCTATCTGGAGTTGTTTTTGGGGTATCGCTGTACGATCAGTGATCAGAGGGGCAAAAGGGCAGCTCGCTGACTTGACCACTAACTAGTGACAAGACCATCAAAAAAACAGGCAGCATGTTTCAGCAGGAAGTGACTTTAACAGCTTACAGTGGAAGTAATCGCCCGAGATAATCATAATGAGATATTGTTTTAACTTTGAGAATGATTAGACATTTTTGGACAGAAAAGCATCAAATGAAACAGCCAGCTTGCAGTCTTGTAGGCCAAGATAGATAATCTTATAAATGATTCATTTGGTTCTGCATATTTAATTTGGTGCTTTTGCTTTTGAAGCTATCCCCGTCAGAACATTGTCAAGCTCACAGCACTCACGATTTCTCCATCTAGTGAAGATTTCTGACAATAGAAAAAAAAAAGTTTATTTTACTGATACCGCCCAACAACTACAAAAACGTCTCAATATGTCAGCTTTGCATCTTTTGCATATACTGTATGCATGATTTGGTCAACACTTGTTATGGTCCCTTCTGTACTCATTTCTTAATTAGATAGCATGTTGTCACAGAACACACACAGCGAGAAAACGTCTGCTCCTCCAGCCTGCCATCTACATCACGACACTAGATATATATAAAAAAACACTAACCAGGCTCTTAATCCCTCAAATAATGTGACATGTTGGAGAGAGAGAAAGAGAGGCAGAACGGGAGTGAGAGAGGGATGCCATCATGACATCAGTGAAGTGAGAAGGCGTTAATAAATGCTAACATGAGGTGATCATGAGTATTTCAACTCTGCAGACACTCTCACCTCCATTCATCACATTGTGGTACATTCTTAAATTGGCTTGATGTCACAAGAACAGTTTATCCCATGCAGAAGGGAAATCATCAGAGGGAAGCTTCACATAGTTAGGATACATGTTTAATGAAAGGCACATAACATAACATAGTAAAGTGCTGAGTACTAACGTGACTAACTGATGTCACCTTATTGCATATCAATTCAATTAATTACAAGTATTGCTCTTTCCATGGGGGAAAAACACCCACTTGTCGTCATTATTGCATATTGTAGGATTATTATAAAGGCATTGATTGTATTACATCCACTGCCATTCCAATACAAGCGGTGTTCATATATTTAATACACTCACATACAAGTTTGAAATGTGGCATGCATATACAGTATGGGACCAATTTCCTGATGAGACACAAACCACATCATTTTACAAATCCAGTTTAAGTATTGGCTTTTCCTATCACATGAAATATAATGATTATTACTATATGATTGATATAATATATTAAGGTACAATTAATATGTCAAACTATCAGTTGCTGATAATAACTGACAACTCTTACGGATTAAACCTTGTTTCAGCACACTATGCCATGCAATACAAGTGAGAGAACAAAGGTAAACGGAGACGGAAAAAGAGTGCACCGTCTTTGCTCTCTCTGCTATTCCCTTCATCTGATCACAAATACATATATATTTCATCACCCTTTGCTAAACACTAAGACATGTGTTTTTCCAGCCAGCAGCTGATGGTGTTAAGCTCCAAAAGTGCTCAAAAGATATGGGAAAAAACTCTCAGTGCATCATTTAATATGATTTTAAAGTGTGTACATCATAATAATGGTAGAAGATTAAAATCTAGTGCAAAATGCCAGATAATACAAAAATTGAAACCATGAGAATAAAAACAGTCATTTTAAAAGCATGTAAATAGGGCATGTACTATAATGCAGTGAATGCCATTGCAGATATTTATTTTTGCAGCTTTTTTTACAAGAGCAACCGCAGATGTGCAAAACATTCATCACACAGCACAGATATTGTTACGCTGTGTCATATGGAGAGGTGCTGCTGGCTGAGCATTCACATCTTTAGATTTGCTGAGAACACAAAGTGTGAGCTCAGGTCCGCATGCCTTACACTGGATGCATTCGCCTGACCTTGAAAATCATGCCAAGTTCTATATAGGTTTTGCTGATTATACTAAAGTGTAGACTAAATGCGATGAGGTAATACAAGCTCTAAGTATGCTTACAGTATAAGTGCTTCGATTATCACAGCAGTGTTTTCTTTTGTGGGATAACAGTAGTTTTACACACACCCTCAAGGACATTTTGGTCAAATATACATAACATATATATATACAGGTGAATGTCTTTAAATTGCACTGAAAGAAAGATGATAATAAACCTCTATTGGAAGTTAACTGACCGAGTAATTGCTGAGTAGTTGTGTTAATTGCACTTTGACACATCCACAAGCGGACAGACAACTTGTGTAAAGGCTGTCCCACCACACAGGTCCTTTTAATACTGTCATTATATGAACAAAATAATGCTGCCATGTTCCGAGTACAAAATACTGAGAAAGATAAACAGCAGCGCATCTCACTGCTGGTTTGATTTGTCCATGTGTCTCTCATGCCCTTGATAAATATAAAGAGTTTCTCTTACTATATTAGCAGTTTGTGCCATTTTTCTCGTTCTGCCAGTTGCCGTTACTTTTGTTTAGTGAGGGTGTGCTTCCATACTTGTTTGCGGCTGACATTTTCTGGGCAGCCTCTGCAGCCGCATCCATCACCTGTTTCTCCTCCTGCTCATTCTCACGATGGTAAAAATAGTTAAAGTTAGAGACGATGACAGGGACGGGCAAGGCGATGGTCAGGACACCGGCAATGGCACAGAGGGTGCCCACCATTTTGCCTCCCATTGTGATGGGGCACATGTCTCCGTATCCCACAGTGGTCATTGTCACCACCGCCCACCAGAAGCCGTCGGGGATGCTCACAAACTGCGTCTCCGGCTCATCCACTTCTGCAAAGTAGATGGCACTTGAGAACAGGATGACTCCTATGAAAAGGAAGAAGATGAGCAGCCCAAGTTCCCTCATACTGGCTTTCAAGGTCTGCCCCAGGATCTGAAGCCCTTTGGAGTGTCTGGAAAGTTTAAAAATCCTGAAGACTCTCACTAGACGGATGATTCTTAGGATTGCCAGGGACATGTTCTGACTGGAGTTCAAATCCTCGTCAGGGGTCGTAGCCAGCTCAGTACCAAGGGTCACAAAGTAGGGAATTATAGAGACAATGTCGATGGTGTTCATGATGTTATTGAAGAAATCTCTTTTGCTGGGACACACGATAAAACGGACACCGACTTCAAAGCAGAACCAAATGATGCAGATAGTCTCCACAATGAAAAAGGGGTCTGTTAAATATGCAAACACATCTTTAATGGGAGGACCAGAACCTTGGGTCCCGTTGATGAGTTGGGTTAAAGCTGGATAATAGTCAGAGTCTTCTCTGAACACCGGCAGAGTCTCTAGGCAGAAGATGACGATTGAAATGACGATGACAAACACAGAAACCAGAGCGACAGATTTGGCTGCACTAGAGCTTTCTGGGTATTCAAACAGGAGCCAGAATTGCCGTTTGAGTTCATTGGTGGGTAAAAGGACCTCCGGCTCTTTGACAAACCCTTCGTCTTCGCGGAACTGCTCCATGGCTTCATGACCCAACTCATAGAAGACCATTTCGTTGGCGAAAACATCTAAGGGAACATTGGCCGGTCTGCGGATTCGCCCCCCTGACTGGTAGTAGTACAGAACGCCATCAAAAGATGGGCGGTTTCTGTCAAAAAAGTACTCGTTTTTCATCGGGTCAAAGTATCTTATCCTCTTCATTGGGTCACCCAGCAGTGTCTCTGGAAAGTTATTCAAGGTACTAAGCTGGGTCTCGAACATCAGACCCGAAACATTGATGACAACTTTCTCGTCTTTTTCTTCAATACAGTGCTTTTCAAACAAATCTTCACTCTCGTAGCAATCCTTAGCCATCTTACTGAAGACACTGTCAGTGGGAGACTCACTGTGGATCAGGAGCTTCAGATTAGAGATCAGGCTGCCACTGCTGGAGTTTGCTTTAGCTGTGAGAGATGGAGGAGTGGAAGGTGATAGTCCTTCATGACCAGAATGATGTCTACGTCGTCCTCTGTGTGGCGATTGATGAGGTGAACTCAGGCGGTGGGGCAAAAGATTCTGATTGGGAGCCTCTGAGGGGGGTGAAGTCGGGTACCCGGAGTCATTCGGGTCCCCCAGGTTAATGCCAACATCATCCATGTTCTCAAAATTAACAAGGGGCACCTCCATTGTCCGTCTTGTGGCTATCCACAGCGCCGGCTATCAGCCTGGTTCACATGCAGAAGACAGAGGGGGCACCGCGACCGGAGCCAGGCTGAAGAGGCTGGCAGGGGTTCCCTCCTCCTGGTTATCATTCAGGCAGCCGTATGCCACGTTTTGATTTAGTCCTCGGTGTAATCTGTAGATGTGGAAGGAAAAATACCATTTTATATTTTGTCAAATAGTGCGAAACAGTTTTGTCGGTAAAGAGATTTTCTGTCAGCTCGTGTTTGCATCAGCAGAGAATTGGCCATCGGATACTGTGCTTGTATAGTTATTTTTCAATTCTCAAGCATGAACTAAATGAAAACACAAGCTCTGCAAAATCAGCCATGAAAGTGCTTACATAGGAAATAGGTAGCACTTGCTATTGCTGATCATGTGCGGCAAAACTGAACATGTTTGATTTCCTAATGAAAAAATACATCATATCTTATGACTGGAAGCAGACACTCATCAAAACCATTGATTTCCTTTTGTTTGAACGTCAGTGTCTAAACTGTTTCAGTCAATCCCTGCTCACATTAACTTTATCTCTAAGTAGCTGTTTATCATTCCATTTGTCATTTAGACAGGTAACTAAATCCTGACACACTTTTTAGCTGCAACCCCTGTGTCCACTTGACACCAAAGGCCCTGCGCACTCAGAGACACTCATCTGGTTCTATTCCCATTTGCATCGTAGCAGATAACGTAACAGTCCAGGGTATGCGCCTGTATCTTCTTATCGAAGGTCATCATGATACGATATGAGCAAAAAAATAAATGATTTGATTGTGCAATTTTAGCAAAGAGGTGTTATTGAGTCCAAGACAAAGGACAGGTGAAGATACAGCAAACTGAAAAAAGTGTTGTAAATCTACCTTTGTCTTAGACACTTTTTATTCTTTCTAATGTACTTTTTGTGACTAAAATCTTACTTTACTAACTTCATCTCACACAGCATTGAAATAAAACAGATACACTGACATGACATCACTACCCTTATCAAAGCATCCACAAAAACATACAAATATGTTTTTATTTTAAGTGTAAAGTTTAAATCCAGCTGTGTGCGTAGGTCCGCACCACTCACCCGTGTCCCCGGCTCTGCTCTTAGTTGTTGTGCCCGCTCTGTCCTGCCTGGCAGCTCCGCTCTGCTCCCCCTTCCTCCCTTCAATCTCTCTCATCCAGACTCACAATTGAGAGTGTCTCTAGCTCTATTAAAGCTCCCATTGGGTAATTTAACACCCTATACGAAACCAGAGATCCCAGAGGTAACCACACACAAACTTACACATGCACAAACTAAGACAAACACACACACACACACAAAGGAAACTCACTGTTTTGAATGTGGGGGTCACCTGGCTCTGTTCTCCCTGTTCTCTCCTCTGTCAGTGGGATAAGTGAGGAAGATAAAGGTAGCTCTCTGATAGGAGATTTACCCTGAAGGAGCCAATCACTGTTTGATGTGGTGAGGGGAGAGTGGGACCCTCTCTTTCCTGCAGAGTAAGCATCCACATGCACGATCATCCAATCCCGCCTCACCTTGGGGATTATACTGTATTCTTCCCCTGATACAGCACTTGTCACAGCTCTCAATACCTGCAGCAGCATACATCTGCCCAGTAGATTCAGCCCTGTCTGGTTTATATCCTTAGCGATACCATTTTCTATGAAACTGTCACAAATGTTTTCCAACTCCAACCTGAAATCTAAATCTTATTTTATTTCTGTATGCCTTTGCTGAAATCCATAGACACATGCCAATTTGTGCCAAAAAACAAGAATTAAGCAGCACTCTAGGATCAATACCATTGATAAATACTTGAGGTTTTCACTGAGGTCATTTATTCTGGGCACTCGTTTGCCCTAGAGGTGTCGATTATAGATTTATAGGAGTGTTTACAGTGTTTAGAATAACAGACTTTTCTGGAAAATCCTGCAGATGTGTTTGTCTCATTTATTTTGTCCCTGCCAACTCCAGCACCTGCCAGCTACTGAACATATGTCACATTAAAACAGTAGCTCTCTGGCTGTGAAAAATATGTCATAGAATTATGCAATATACCAAGCCTAATTCAAAGGTCAAATTATAATCACAGAAAGACTGCACTTCCTTGTATTACTCCACTTGAATACCCTCAAGGAGCGCAAACTTTAATCAAAGTTAATCTTCTTTTTCAGAAGGGCGGCCAATTTGGCAACATAAGTTGAATATTGTGTTACCTGATAGAGAACCAGTTGCCTAAAGTCAGGAAGAAATCATCCCCTCCTCTCACTCCGCTCGTGCCGCAGCCTGGAGTTAGCTGCCTGCAGATCCTCTGTAACATTGCGGCGCGAGCAGCACCACTGCAGGCACGAGCAGATGCATCCAAGGTCACTGAAGACTGTTTCAAGACTTTGCTATACATCATCATGCACTGTCACCTCAAGAAATCTCATTATGTGTACTACAATAATGTGGAGGGAGAATCTTCTCCATTCAGACTGAGAGGAGTGTTTAGATAGTTCCATTTAGTCTAAGTTATCTCAGTGGGTCTCAAACGTTTTGATCACAAATTATGTAAACACATATTTCCAAGGCACTCCTTTATAATTATTAGGATAAATAAAAACGGGTTTGAAATCATTTCAATGTCTACTATAGGACAGTAAACCAAAAATATCCTTTAAAACTGGAGAGATAAAAAATATGCATAAATAAAAAAATGTTAACTAAGTAAAATAAGATATAAATGAACAACAAAAATAAAATAAGTTACATGTATTTGTTATTGGCTATGGTAGGTTACTGGTTATGTTCACATACTTATTTGATTATTAAAATGTAAACCAATCTTTTTCATACGGGTGTTTAGAGTTGTACCCCCTAGATCTAGTCTCTACTAATTCTGCTCAAAGTGCACCAGATTGAAGCATTTGACTTTAAAATGTTCAAACATTTGTTCCCGGGGGGAGCATACCCCGGACCCCCCTTGAAGATGTGACGTCCATCTCCCATTCCATTGTGTGTTTCCTATACATGTCATTGAGAACGCAGTCAGCTGAGGCATGACCCGCCACTTAAACACTTCATAATATAATTTGCTACAGGCAGAGAGACAGGAAGACAGACAGTGATGGGACTGCAGGAGTCAGACTGAGAGGGTAAATAATCGATCCATTCCCCTGCTAACCGATTTGTGTCAGAAAGAGAGGGAGAGGGGAGGTTAATGGGTGAGATACGAGCCACAGGATGAGGTGGGCTGCAGCTACTGCAGTGTCACTCGTCTCAGGGATATCGTCCCTCCGTCCGTCCTTCATTCATCCCTCCCTGCGTCCATCCCTCCCCCAATGACACTGTCACCTTACCCGTTAACAGTGTTGACGAAGCAGTTTCTCGATCAGCTTGGTTGTGCATGTACTGATGATGCAGAGGTATAAACACGTCCTGCGCACCTTCACACAGCTCGTCTTTGTGCGATAGGAATATAAGGGAAATAAACTTCAACACCGAAGTGATCTAAAAAGCTCTAGTGTGTTCAGTAAAAGTAAAATGAACGACTGTGAAAATAATTAATAACAGGTTATTCATAATTCATAATATTTTATGAGTCATATATTTTTAGGGGATCTTGTGTTGTTTTTTAAAATCTGATAATATTAGTTTTCTCTACTCTTAATATTGTTTTCCTTGTATTCTTTTTTGCTAACTTGTAACTGTGAATAATAACTTTTTTGTTTTACCAGTTATTGCATATTTACAGCAATATCCGATGAATGCTTGTCTCTGTTAGATACATTTATAAATAATATAGATTTACTTAAAACAATTAACTCTTTATCCAGGAAAGTAGCTCCTGTGAGTGTTATTTATGTTATAATTAGGGCCAGTTTTATAATTTTTGTTGGGTAGATTATTTTAAAAAGATGCATTATATTTTCTAACACTCGTCTAGTATAAACTCTTGTTCAAGTTTTTTTTTCTGGAAAGAAGAGGAGGGATGTAATGCAAGAAAAGCCCCTGGTCCGGCTTAAACATGAACGCGTGCACCAGGCACTCTGATTTTTAAAGTAAGTCATACGAAATGAAGAAGAGCAATAATATAAAGACGCATGATATGTAAATACAAAGGACTTGTGAATTAGTCAAAACTTGCAATGCTGATTTCTTTGGGGGCCACTAAGGGGCCAACAAATATTATTTAGATACCCTGCATTTTAAGAAAAAAAACTCAGCATTCATTTGGAGACGTGTTTCCTGCCAATGTATATATTTCGCTGTACATCGGTTTTCATTAAAGAAAAATATGGTTATTTATCTCCTTAATGCTCCAGTATTTTCAACAGATAAAGCCTACTATGGTTGTCTGCCAATCCAAAACCTTTTAGGGCAAGATATATGCATTATCATTCTCTACTGTCCTGCTTTTTAATGTCCCATCCATCCATCCATCTTCTTCCGCTTATCCGTGGTCGGGTCGCGGGGGGTAGCAGTTCCAGCAGAGAGCCCAAACTTATTTTCCCTGGCGACATCAACCAGCTCTGACTGGGGGATCCCAAGGCGCTCCCAGGCCAGCGAAGAGATATAATCCTCCACCTGGTCCTAGGTCTACCCCCTTGGTCTCTTCCCAGCTGGAACGTGCCTGGAACACCTCCCTAGGGAGGCGCCCAGGTGGCATCCTAACTAGGTGCCCGAACCACCTCACTGGCCTCCTTTCGACGCGAAGGAGGAGCGGCTCAACTCCGAGTCCCTCCCTGATGACCGAACTTCTCACCTTATCCCTAAGGGAGACACCAGCCACCCTGCGGAGAAAACCCATCTCGGCCGCTTGTATTTAATGTACTTTGACATATTTTCTATGATAAGTGTTTCCTGTTGGATGTTTTGTGGGATCCCTGCCTTACATTTGAGTGAATTGTTGATGAAGTAGATTAGATTTGTCCATTTATAATAACTTTTTTTAAGTTTAATTTCAAATGTATTTGAATTTGTCTATTTGTCT